AACAAGTAACATCGAGATGAGACTAATCTTAAAAATAGATTAATGGACAAGTAGGAATGAATAATGTATAAAAGGCACAAAAAATCAGAACCAAAGGGTTCCAAAACTCTCAATCCAAAGGGTTGGAGATGAAGCAAAGATGCTGAAATTAATCAAGTATTCATGAAGATGAAAATATTCATAGCAAAAAGTCCAACAAGCGTCAGCTTTGAAACTCGATTCTTTAGTTATGATATTCACAATTAAGATGAAACAAAATTTTTCTCATCTATTAAGAGCAATGAATAATCTGAGCCATTTCCAGACATACTCAGCCTTTCATGGAAATCATTAAGATGATTAGATGGAAGATGTCAATAAAACAGAGTTTTATAAGACAATAATAAAGAATGAAAATGAAGCAAAAAATGTGAAAATTTTGAAAAAAGGAAGAAAAAAGTTGATTCAAAATTGATGCTTTTGGGTGCAAAACGATTCTTGAATTGGAAATTGTTAATCGATGCAATCGATAAACATGATGATTACGATGATAAGAGTGGTGATGATGATGAGCAAGATGAAAGTAAAAGCATCTTAAAAAGAGCAAGAAATGGATGAAGAAGAAGAAGAAAAAGATTGATCCATGGCTCTTTTTTCCGCTTCCTCATAATGATACTATTAATTCTTGCCTTTAATGGTCAATTTAAGGTCTTTTTTGGTGACATTAAACCCAGAGCCAAGTCATTACTGTTGATCCAAAGCAGACAAAAAAGTCTTACATTTTACAACTGAAATAATACAAATAAAAACAAAAAAACTGATCGCTTTCAAAACTATTCAAGAATTGCTATTTTACTTGATTTTCATTTTGTTAGCTCATTTAACATTGTATTACAATTTGACTTTGAATAAAAAGAAGAGAGAAAAAAACGAAAAAAAGTCATTTCGACAATTGGCATTTTCCTACAACAAAAAGTTCCTGTTTAATCATGTTTAATCAGTGATTGTTAACCTTGATTAACATTGTCTTCATTACTGCTTATTCAATCTCTCATGCATAAGTGTCACTTAATCGCTGGAAATCTTGACTTGACTGACGTTCCAAACGAAAAAAATCTTTCAACTTTTTCTCTTCTCTTTGCTGGGAGTGAATATTTGATAAACTTGTTATTGTAAGCAAATTGATCTGGCAATTGTAATAGACGTTTTTGGACAACATCTGAATGTAACGATTTGTCAGTTTCCATGATAAACATCAGTTGGAAAAGGAAAAGAAATGAGGAGAAGAAGAAAAAACTTGGAATATAATGGTATTATTGCAATATGGAATCAGATTTTGGTTCACATTTTTCTTATTTTTGCTTCTTTTGTTTCTTCTTCTCTTCTCTTTTCATGATTGATAAAATAAAACGAGAGTCAATTTTGAAGGAAAACTAGGAAACAATATGTTTTGTCATCATCTTTCAACATCAACAATTTGCTCTTTCCTTTCAAATATTGTAATATTTAATATATTTCCCTGCGAACTTCTGAATCTAGAGAATTTTCAGGGAACAACTCAACATTCTACTTCTGTACAAATTAACTTTTGTTTTGCCTCTTCACTGACCAATGGTCTTAATGGTTGCTGGATATTGATTGAAGTTGAATGAATATTCAATCAAAATAATTGTTGACATTTCCTTTCCAATCTTCTTGTTCATCATTTAAATCTTTTTACAACTTTTTTGCCTTTTAACGCTTCCAGTTCAAGTTTCTGATTGTTTCAGCAACTTTTGTTCATCATGCAAGATTTATCTCAAGCTTCAAGGAATCATTGGATATGAGCCAAGTGAATCAAACTGTTTTGTCTCAAGCAAATGGTGATAATATTGTTCAACTGAAACAAATCTTTGATCCAGTTATGCGTTCTTTACAAAACTCGAACATGAAATACCAGATTTACAGTGATATTGATCCGTTTATTCAGCACAAAATTCAGAGCCAAAGTAATTTAGTGAAAGCTTTGATGAACCTCTAGTTGCTTAAAAAAGTGGTGAATGACATCGAGTTGAATAGTCTAATAAGATCTCAATCACAGGTTAAATATAAAGTCCTGGACTGATCTCAAGTTATTCAGGCAAAGCGTTCACGGAAAACTGTTGACGAAACTTTTTTGTAGGTTGATTTAAGATGATCAAGACAGAGATAAATAAGAGGTCAGTTCATAGTTCAACAAAACTCAGGACCGATAGAGTCAAGATAATACAATAATGTAGTTTTTCAGTGGCTGGTGAATTGAAAAGATATTAAAGAAAATACTTTTTTAGAAAGTTTGTCCATTATGCGTTCTGCAAAACAATCTTGATTGACTCGAAGTGAATTATCAATTTGTAATTGTACTCTCAACCCTTATAAATAAAACAGAATCGTCATGAATCATGATTCAAAGTTTAAATGAATTTCCCCAATACCTTTGCACTTAACTTATCTTATCATTTTGGGTTGCTTTTTGAGGCTTTTTACTCATCAAGTTTACTTCAATTTTCCCTTTAAAGCTTATTTCTGAAGTTGCTTTTAGCTTAAGTCCTCAATTGGACAAAAGAGAAAAAGATTTATCGAAATTCAGTTCAATTCCAGATTAAATGATAAGTTTTTGGTTTTCAACAAAACTTTGACAATGAATGAGACGCCATCTAGTGTTGAAAAAGAAGACGAATTAACCAGAAAGTGAAAGAATCTTGAAAAGTTGAATTTTAGTGTAAATTGTACCACATTATTCATGGATGAGATCATTTATGACAGCAAATTGAATTGATTAATGGATTAAGAGGGAAATTTTAGATTGAATCGAGAATTAGATCATCATCAGAAATTATTCTTATCATTTTTAATGGTTTAAAAACAGATTGGAAATGATTAAAATCAAGTTTCCAGAATGATTTGTCAAACAAAATTAAATGTAAACATTTTTTCCGAATCAATTGAACACATGAAAAAAAGGTTAATCAATTGAGCTGATGTAAAATGGTTGAAGAAATGAATAAATGAAAAGATTTTGTCCAATTCAATGACAAATTGAAACAACTTATAAAATGTTCAATAATTGCTTAAACAGAAGCAATTAACCTTAAACAAGTCTGTCAAGATTAAAGCAAAAAGCAGAAAAGCGATAATCAAATTGTCAATTCACCTGTCATTAGACTGATACAATTGAACACAATTCTGAAGTGTGCTTAATGAGGATCAATAGAATGATGTTTTCATAACAATTCTGAACATTTATCAATCTTGGCTCATCCAATTCAGTTAACAACTTGAAAACAAACCATAAAATGGGTTCAACATTACATTTGATTTCCGTAACAAAACAGTGATTCAATTGATAACACTTCATAATCACCAGAATCACGACCAAGTGACTAACTAATTTCAATATTGATAAAGCAATTCGTTATTACAACGATGACAAGCAATTGATTAGATATTTAACCACAAATAACAACAATTTAATCTAAAATTGATCAAACAAACTCTGTTGATCAGTTTAAATGTAATGATTTCCATCGGTTTGGGTTAAAATATTGATATAAAAATAGTAGTAAAGTCCATTGGAAATTGACAGAGTTAATCATTAAATGAGTCAATCACAGTTGGTGATTAATTGTAACGTAATTGGCTTTTAATAAATTAACTAGATTAAGAAATAGTTTCGATAAATTGTTTATTGTTGAATCTGGTTTCAGATTTTACCTTTGATTAGCTCATTTAATTGGATGTTTTACCGTTTACTTTGAGGACTTGAGACATGATTAATGCTTATTGAATATTATGAAGAAAACAACTTTTCAATTTAAGTTTCATTGATAATCAAGTTGATCATAAATCGCGCATTACCTTGACTTGGATTTAATCGTTAATTAGCCGGAAGTTTTTTATCCATTTTAATTTTTCCCTGATAAACAATTTTGATCAACTTGGAATGCTAATTGGAAATGAAAGATATTATTGATACGTTTCCTTGTCAATGTAAAGTCAACAGAGACTTTCATTGACAAAACCCATTTTCAACTGGATTCACTTAGAAGTGACAATTTTGTTGATTTAATTGCTTCCAAATGAAATGTTTAAAAATAGATTATTTAAAACGTTAACAGTGATCAATCAATGGAATGGTTTCATAGTGAAAATTGATTGAAAATAGAGTTGAGAGGCAAATATTTACATGTTAATCTGGTTAAATCAGTTTATGATGGAAGCGTAGGGAAAGTAAATTGGAGAATGAATTTTCATTGCATTTCACCAAAATTAACAACATTATTTCAACATGATTCAGATGAGAGACCGAGAAGACAATAAATTATCATCATCAGAAAATTCTCATCTTCTCTCTCTCTCTTCTCACTATCTTTTATATCATCTTTGTCAGCCTTTCTCATTTCAACCTCTTCATCCAAATGTTTATATCCATTTCAAACTACACTCTGGCTCTTCATTAGCCGCTCCCATTTTCATCCTCTTTTCTTCCCTCTCTTTTCGTCATTAGTCTCATTAACTTTCATCTTCCTTTCTCTCTCTTCCCTCTTCATCTCTCCCTTTCATCATCCAAGTAAACCTAGAAACCTAAACACATACTGTAACATGCGAGTTTAGCGGGTTCAACATTAATAAATAGCCATTTCTTTCAACGAAACTCATTCAGTTAATAAATTGTCTTCCTTCAGTTGAAAATCAAAAAGGATTATCTTCAAATAATTTCATTAGTTAATCTCATACCAGGTAAATCAACAAGTAATATTGTTTTGTCTCTGTTCACTCAACATCTTTTGCTTTTCCCTTTTTACCCAATTCTAGTTGTTTAATCACTGTGCTCATCCTAATCATGGCCAGTCCAAAGGATATTGTTGCCACCGTGCTCAAGTTTGCTATTATGATCATCTCAATCATCATCTTGGTCAAGTTGACTGTTGACCTTGTCCAACATGGTAAAAACTTCAAAACGGAACAAATAATTTACTATGTTTGTACCTATGTCGTCTTACTGTTTGCCTTGTTTGGAGCCTGGAAGGAAGAGTTTATTTACTTGGTCATTGCTGGTGTCGCCCTGATCCTTGACTTGGCCTTTTCGTGGGGAGCTGATGCTGGAATCGCAGTAAACAACAGTCTGGTTGTGGCATTAACGGTATTGGTCTGTGTGATGGCCGCGTTGCTCAAGTTTTTCAATGCTCGATCAGTTGCTGTGGTCTAACCAAACTCATGACCAGACAAAAAAAAACCAAAAAAATATTTACTAATCACTCAACCTCATTCAATACACAAAGCCTTAAATCCTACACAAATCCCGATTCCCACCACTTTAAACCATGAAATTAATCAAAATAATCGCCCAAAAATGTTTCTTTCTTTGTCTCATTTGCTAATCCATAACAATTATACTTAACTTGACGGTGTTTTTTATATCTAAATATCACAAATCTATCATTACATAAATGAAAAGCCAAACCAGAAAACAATGTTGCCCTTTTTTTTGCTTAAAAGTATTCATTAATTCATTGAATCCCACTCTAATCCCTTATTAAGTGATCCTACAACTTGGACTCTTCCTTGTCTTGGATCAGCATCTTTGAACCTCAAAGTTTCCAAAAATATTGTGCCTCATTTTTGGCATCGCCATGATGTTAATATTGTTTGCTTGTTTCCCTCTCATCATCATCATCTCCTGATTGGTTGTTGTTTTCCTTGAACAAATCATCATCATCCTAATCGCCACCTTTTTCATGATGAATGTAACAATCAACAATAAATAAAGAAACAAGGATCAACATGTTTTATCAGTTAAATACTTGTTTCCAGGTTAACAATTTAATATCAACATTTTACTTTAAAATATACAAAAAAATTTTATCTTTACTGTAACTTGTAATACTTGATTTACAGTATGAGTAATGATGATATTGTACAGTTAAGCGTTATGAATGCCTTGAAACGGCCTTGGCCAATCAGCAAGTTATATCAGGATAACCAGGCAAAGATAATTGTCATTAAATTGTGAATATGTTAGTCACAGCTATGATCACATTCAAGATGTTTACACGAAACATTAAATGAGCAAGAATTAAATTGTTGCCAATCAATTTTGTATGAGCGCTTTTTTGATGGTTTATGCCAGTTTTGTGTTTGATTATGTGCCTGTTGTAAGTGTCAAAATAATTGTTATTACTCTTGAATTGCCAGGGTTAATCATGATTTAATAGAAACATGCAATGATATGAAACGCCTTCGTTTCCATAGCAGATTGTTGCTTCAATCTCATAATGGTAATAAAAGCGGATGAAAAGCAATTAACAATTGCTATGTTGATGGGTAATTCAATTGAGTTATTGTGTTATTATTATCCGAAAGAGTCAATTGTTTAAAGCATTTTGGCTTTCAAATTTTGTTCATTAGTCAAGGTAAACAGACAAACTTGATTCTTCTTTGTTTATGTGTTTATTTGGTTTACCTTTTGGTTTTTATTCAATTTATAATTACACAAACCTTGCTTTTGTTTTTACTTTTGTGTTTGGTTTGGTTGATACTCGATTTCAAGAGCGATCAGAATAATTAAAGTAAAATAGTTTTTGTTTGCTAATTGATTAAAATTGAGTTGTTCAAACTCGAGTACAAAATGGCAAACAAAAGGCATTTATGGCAATTGACTATAATCTTGAAGGCCTAGATAAGAGGCTCCATTTGTGTTTACAATTTTACAATTGATATTTTACACCTTTGGCTGATGTTTTGTTGTGAATTGGCAGTGATTTTGTCAATAGTTGATTACCGGCAGCCACAAGCTTCCACTACCATGTCTTGATAATTTTTGAGAACAACTTTTCCATATTCGTCGACATAAAGAATTGAAATTGATGAAAGCTCGGTGGGAACACAGCAAGCCTTTTGAACCTTGTTAGGGGTAACAGAGTTAACTAAATTTTGAACAATGGCGTGATTTGTGGCATTATGGACATCGTTGAGGAGATGAGGACAGTCACCCGCACAATAAAATGCTTGATAACCAAGTGGAGCTACAATCCAATTGTTCCAACCAACTTCACTAAAATCGACGTACATGGGTCTCCGGCGACATGCCTCTTTCCTTTGTTTGCGACGACTCTTACGTCCACTGACTGGCTTATTTCTTTGATCAACTTGTCTCTTATCACGTTTTAAAACATTTGAGGCATCAGGTGTGCCATCATTTGAATAAGTCACTAGTAAAGGTGCTTCTAGCAAAGGTTCATTCTCCTCAGTTTTAAAATTGGTGGTGTAAAAATATTGGCTTGGATCGTCAAGAGCCAGACTCGTCCAATTCAGATGATATTGGTTAAATAAATTAGAATCTGTTGATTTTGAATCGTCATGGTGACCAGATACGATGAACGGAGGACAAACCGCAATCTCAATGTAGAAAATTGTTGCCACAAGGGTCCATTGAAAAGTCATGGTCACTCATCAAGATGATATTGGTGTTAGTAAATGGCTGGTAAGGAAACCAGGAAAAAGACAGACAACTGACTAAAGATGAAAAATACTATGGCAATGACCAGTTTATTACTAGAGCATTAGGAATCAAGAATAAAAGGGTAACTAATGAAGATAAACATGAAATTCGATCAACTAATCAAAACGTCAAACTTTGGTAATATATAAAAATGTGAAAGACAGATAAGAGAAACAAGTTGTAAACAAGTCAAAAATTCTCAGCTTTCATCGATTCTCGATTAATCGAATGCCTTAAAGACCAATTGGAAACTTTGTACTAGGGTAAAACTTGCTATCTTTGGATATTATTACGCACAAAAAATTGATTAAATAGCCTTTTTTTCTTAAAAAAGACAGGTTTATTTGATAATCATTGATTTTACAAGAGAATTGGTAATTCTAATCACCTTTTTTGTCTCCAGCCATACCCATTTTCTTTATTAATTTTTCATGTTCTTCAGCCAATCGGTCATATTCACGACTAATACCTTCGGCCTGCTTCTTAACAGCCTCAGCTTTGGCTAATTCATTCTTAGATTTGATCAATTCTTCTTTGATTCCAGCCAATTCAGATCTAAGACGCTTCAATTCACCAGCTGAAGGTGATGTTGGCTCATCTTTGTTTTCTGCCTTGTCACCACCGGCTTTAGTTTTACTCTTCTTGTTGCCATCATCTGAAGCTTTCAATAAGGCCTCTGCTGCTTTTGAAGCTCCCTTTGCTTGGGCAGTAACAGCTTCCAGTTGATTTTTAAGTTGTGCTGTCTGCGATAAAAGAGAAGCGATTCGTCGAATCACCAAACAGAGAAACAAAGCGAATCCAGCAATGTAAAAATTTCGCTGGGCTCTAAACAATTTCATTGAATGAGCCAATTCGGTATTGAGATGACCGGCATGCTCGTCATGTTCTCGTCCAACTGAATATCTCCTCATTTCCCGAATGGAGTCCAAAAACAGAAGGACCAAAATTAACAGAAATCCAGTGAAATAAAGGTTACTTTGACGTTCAATAGACTGTAAAAAGCGTGATTTGAAAAAACTTTGCCATTTTCTCGGTGAAATGATGGGCAATAATAGAATAATGACAATAGCAATCTCTATATACAGAAAGGTAGCAACCAAAGTCCATTGGAGACTCATTTTGATTAATTATACTATTTAAAAATAACAATCAAGTTGACAAAGAAATGATGAGTATACAAAATAACAAAACGCAATTTTCAATCCCAAGTTCAGGGCCTAAATGTATTCAAACAGATACCAGATAGAGTGCAAACAATATCAGTCCCAAAAGATACAAACCACTGACGTAACAAGAGATCGTGGTTACTCACTAGCTTGATCAATACAATCAGTAACTGTGTTTACTTCCCCCCAGCTACAAGTAACCAGTTACATCAACCTTTTACCGTCAGATTAACAGTTGAAAATCCGATTCTCCATCTTCGACCAACGCCGTCTATCGATATATTAAGAAAGCTATCAGAATTTTTATTTTACTCTCTTCTCTTTCTTTTTTGAATTTCCCTCTCCATGTAACCACAGAGTAACTGGTTATGATGAACACAACAAAAGCATACGAAAAAGTAATCATATTTGGTTACTTCTTCCCCTCTAACCAGGTAACCGGTTATTAACCAGTATTTACCCAAAATTGCCCTTCGAAGAGGGCCCCATCTTTTGGAAATAAAAATAATCTTAGCTCTCGAAATACGATTGTTTGATATTTTGACATTAATTGTTACCATTAACCATCCGTTTCAAATTAACAACAATTACACGTAAATTAACTGACATTACATTCTATCAATACGTTTTTGAATATTTGTTCCGTTCTTTTAATTAACAATAATTTACACTAATTATGAATTGAAACAATCTTGATTCTAGACTTTCAAGTCAACTTTCATCTTGTTTTTTCCGAAAAAGCGATATTTGACCTTAAATGGTCTTTAAAACATAAAGAAGACTACAATTTTAGTTTTTTAATACTTTATTCACAAGGTGAAACATTGATTTGATGTTTTCTAAAATATCAAAATGAAAAATCTTATAATTAATTTGTAGTATCGAAAAGTCAAAATGACAGTTTTTTCTCCCTACAATATAAATTAAACTTAATTTAATCCAAATTATTATTTCCTTTGGAGAGTACGTTGGTTTTGTCACCACACAAAAAGGGACGATTGGTAGCAAAATTAATTATTGGCTATCGAATGTTTATCATTATTTATATGGTTTAAGTATAATTTCGAAGTGGCATTCATCAGTCCCATCATTAGCAACTGTTGAGGAAGAGAAAAAATAAATAAAAAATAATATTAAATAAACGATTTAATCAAAAAATCTTTTAAAATCATTATAATGATGAAAGTTTATCTAATTCTCCAGTCTCTTAATTCACCAAATAAATCTTTCTCTCTGCTTTTAAGTATTGCGTTAATGTTGCTTTCGGGCATTCTATAGTGGAACAAGTTTACTGAAATATCCTAAAATTATTTCTACTTTTCAAATATTCAATTTTGTTGGCTTCTCATGTTTATCGAGATCTATTCTCTTTATTTATTCATCTCTCTCTCTCTCTCTCTCACATACAAAAACATTCACTCTATGCAATCTCTTCTTCCTCTTATTTATAATAATTAATCTTTAATTCTTGGTTTTACTAATTAAAACTAACACACCCACATGTATACAACTATCTCGAGGAGACCTCAATCAAGAGGTGCCTTTGCGTTTGTACTTCACCATAACAGCATCGATGGTGGTAATCTCATATTGTTCATGCATTTGAAATTAATATTTGGTTAAGAAACAGAGAACAATAGAAAATAATAAATAATAATGAAATGCTCACCTCGATCTAATTGCATCAAGAAAATTGATTCTTCCGTGAAATTTCTGATGACCTCATCTGTCATAAGAACATGAATTCCAGAAGGACCTTGTAAGCAGATTCTGTTTATGTAATATTCATTTGAACATAATATCACGGATTCCAATTTAGCCTTAAACTCTGTAACACTAAGGTTTTCTAAGTATAAAGCTCTGAAAACTTCATCCACAGGATTACAGATATACAAGGTCAGTTTAGGTTTAATAGCGCGAATATGAAGAGCATTGAAAAGTCTAATGCCATCAGTTAGGCCACAAATCTGAATGAGATCACTACGTGTCATCCTTAATAGATCTGAGCCCGAAAAATTTGAAAACGTCCTAACGTAAGAATCAAATCTATTCAAGGCTAACCAGTTGGCAGTTTCTTCAGATGATGCTTCTGAGGAGAGGATGGTATTGAGGTTAAATGGTGAAGTGGAATTATTATTAGTAAAGTTTGGTTCTAGTTCCTTATCATCGGACAAAGATGGAGACCTTTTGGGGACAACACTATTATTGGCTTCCGATGAGGCTTTCAGCTTCTCTTCCAAACCTCTTAGGTTGACTCCTCCCGTTTCGGTTCCTCCGATAGATGGAACCAACACTGATGGAGCTGAAACAGTGGGTGAAGATGGTGGTGAGCCTCGAGACAATACAACATTAGAACTATTCCTAATTTTGCTGTTATTACCAACTGCATCATTCGAATTACCATTAACATTACCACATATGACTCCATTATGATCGTTGCTGCCTCTATTTCCTGAATTATTGTTGATAGATGATGTTGCTGTATACAAACTATTGATAGGATACTCAGTAAAGGCAGTACGATCTGAAGACGGTTTGAATTTCTCCTGTTCGCTTTGAGGACGCTTGCTCATCTTTTCTCGATCTGTTTTGTGCTTTCTATCTGCACCTTTAGGTTTGAAAACTTTGATTTGACATGATGCAGCATGCAGGATGCTAGAGGCACCAATTTTAACACCCCCATCATAAGCGTGTGTTTCGATTATCAATCGAAAAGGTACTCCTTTTTCGCCACCATGTTTCTTTGGGGTAAACTCTGTACTTATACAATTAACCTTGACAGGGCAAGAGAATAAAAAGATATAGAAATAAGTTGTTAAATACTGGTTCAACTTTGAGACTTGTTGTTTCTCCAGTCACTGCTGGATACCTTAGAGTGGCTATTTTTAGTGGCTTTTAGTTTCATGCATTAGTTTTTGATAAAATATATCTTACCCTGACGAATACGCCTGTATCTTTAGTTGGTTCCCAGAGAAATTCACATTTGTTTATTTCTTGAGAATTGTGTTGATTTTCGTAAATACCATAAGAAAGTGGAATGTCAATTTCTAATATTCTTTCAGATTGTCTGGATTGCTTCCATTGCAAAATCAAATCTTTCTCCATGTACTGTAGCCTCCTTTCGTGGAATCCTATTCTAATAATGCTTTTCAACATTTTACCTCTTAAATCAGATAAATCGCCAAGTTTCTTAAGATTTATCTCATATGATTGACCTATAGAGTCAATAATCAGAAATAAAAGAGAAGATAGGAAAGCAAAAAAATGGTGGAGAATAGAATTTAAAGAAAATTGAGATAAGGAGGTAAATAAAGAGATCCAAAGTTATATCTTAATAAACTAAAATCTGTATCTGATTTTGGCAGAAATACTAACCTTGGTTGAGGTATGTCATGGTTTCTTCATTGACTTTAGTAGCCATCGATGTTGGTGCTTGTAAAAGATACAAAAATTCATTTGTATGACGAATAGGAGAAGGCGATTCAGACTCATTGGACGAAGATGTAGCATTATGATTTTGATGATGTTGATTATGCTGATGATGATGATGATGCTGTTGTTGCTGCTGTTGTTGTTGTTGGTGAATATGATGATGATGATGATTGCTGCTTGTGGTATTAGTTGCCGTAGTCCCAGTAGAACTGGAACCGAATGGATGATTAGATACTGAAAGTATCTGAGTTAGAACCGAGGATGGACTTGATATGGCTGCAGATGGTGATGATCGACCTGAATGTGGTAATATCGATGATGCTGAGGTAGTTCTTAGATCCGGGGCTGATATGCTGTGACGCTGTTGGCATTTCATCTCACTTTTACATTCTTCATGTTGGCAATCACCATCTGAGCCTCTCTGAATGAGACCATGTGTTGCAAAAATATATCGCATGGAATCAGCATTACACGTTTCCCGCTCATTGCTAAAACAAAATCGTTTAATGGTGCTGGTCATGCTTTCTTCGTCGAGACCATAAGCTAAATACGATGAGAAAAGATTGAGAAATAAATAAGTTGAGCTGGATAAGGAACGTTTACAATGTTATCAATCTATTCATCAAAATCTCATCAATCTAAACATTTATTACTTTAGCATGCTAACCCTCCATCTAACCTATTAGTTTTTTTCCCTAACTATATAAAAGATAAAGTTACCTAAACGATTCTTTTTCCGATGAACAATGATGTCCGAGCCACGGCCATCATCACCAAGTGGATTGTCTAATGACAGGGATAATGAAGATGACTCAGAGTTGGACCCTTTGATATTGCTATTTGTACCGATAGAATGCTTATGATGAGGAGAAGATTGATGTGAATTATCACTGCTGTTGCCGTTTGATTGATGATTAAGATGACTTCGATGATGATAATTGGTATGCTCACTTTTTAGACTTGGCAACGCAAGTAGAGTTTCGCTGTAAAAAAAATAAAGACGAATTGATAAGAATTCATCATTAGACATTGAGCATTAATGAATATGTTATAGAGGCATTAAAAAATTAATAAAGAAAAAAAACTTGGCAAATGAAATTTGAAGAAAGAAAATTGAGCAACTAAGATAATATCACAGGTAGTTAGCTCTCTGCAACAAGAGAGGAGAGGAAAGCAGTAGTAGAGTAGCATGGGAAAATAGAGGGAGAATGAAGAGAGATAGAAAAATTGAATTGCTTTACCTCATGTTAAATGAAGAAGTTCCCAATTCCATTCCGAGACCAGAAAGGCTTCCGTCAAAATCAGCTGCCAAAGCATCGTCAATATCATGCCAGTGGACTGCAGTGGACATGATGATAGTGGATAATGGTACCGCTGCAAGACCAGTGAGAATGAAGAGATGAGATGGATGAAGAACAAGAAAAAAATCAAAGGTAAACTAAACAACAAAAACACCAAATGAAAATAATATTCAGTGTTTAAACAATTCTTCAAGCTTATTTTTTTTCTTTCTCTCTTACTTTTTCTCTTTCTCTCCCTCCCTCTCCCACTCTCTCTTCCTTACTTTTCTATTTTGTTCCCTTGACTCTTGATAGAAAGTGAATGGTGAATACACTGAACCACTGTTTAAAGAAACGATGTTGATTTGTTAATGATGATGCTAACAAAGTTCAGTTATTGGAACAAAGAATCAAGAAAAAGCAAATGAAACAAGACATTTTTCAATGCAAACACAAGCAACTCCAAAGATTCCCAAGTCGATTGATACAAAAACTAGCATGTCGCCATCTAGTTGTTTCTATGTTAGATTCTCATAGTTATCGAGATTTATCTTTAAAAATCTTTGATGTTTATTTTTCTTTGATGTAACATTTGTTTAAAATTGTACACACAACTGTTTTGGACCTAAATCCAGGATTCAAAGGCTTTGTGTTTACCTCAAGTTTTTGTGGATTGGTGCATAAAATACAGTCAAATAGATTCGTCTTTGCTAGTCAACAAAACAGATTGTTTCTGAGTATCAGATTCAGATTACTTCAGATCGACCTGTTGATTGTCAACAAAAGCTGATCAATAGATACTTATCATTTCTAATCTCATCTATTTCACGAGTTTACCTCTAAGATCAACATGGTAACTTGAAAACCCAACTTTCTTACAACACAAAATTTGTAATTCTTTCGCCAGTGGTAAGTAATCATCATAAATATCTTAATTACTTTCCTCAATTACCGTGGTTTTCCGTTTTTCTTGTTATATCCTCACAATAGTGCTATTACGATTTGTCACTTTCAACTCCTTTGTGTTGAATCAAAGGCATTTTTATGTCTTTTTCCTCTCTGTCTCTCTTGTGATCACGATACTTTTGTTATCACACATTATTGACTACCTTTTTAACAGTAAATCAAGACTGACTTTTAATGAAAGCTTTACATTGTTTCTTGTTGTGTCCTCAAGTTATTAAGCTACTTCTAACAATCTATCGCATCTTTTAATTACCTCAAATATAATCTCGTTTTAGATATAATATAAATCTGAAGAGATGTAATAATAACATTCAACCATTGGGTAATATCTTTATTGGATTAAATGATTTATGTTACCAGTGCAATACAATGGGTGAGTTTTAACTTTTTTTCAGGCCAAATTAATATTTATAGTAATACAGTTATCATTTATGGTTGAAACAATTTCCTAGCTAAATTGAATAATTATATGGATGAACATGAGCATGAGATAATGATGAAAATCATGACTAGAAGTATCTTTAACCCAACAGATTCACCAACAATTTGTAAATATTTGGATACAAATTTTCATACGATGTTCACCTTTAGTTATGATTCCTCCATCCCTTTGCTATTTTTTAACACAATCATTTACTTGACTTTTGACAAATATTTGATTATTAACCTTCTCTTATTTCATTTTAATTTCAGATTTTTTTTACCAAATCATGGTTCATGATGGCCCATCAAAATCCTATCTGTTTGCCCTGACCTAATTGCCATCGAGAGTTTCTTGATTGCTGCATAAACACACCATTGGAATCAATGAATTGTTAGTCTACAAATTAATCAATTATTTTATCTAATGAGATGTTTATTTTCTGTATCTACTTTGACTTCATTGTTACAGTTATCATTTCACAACGGTTCATTGGCACTTTCATTCTTTGACGATCGATTATTATGTCTTAAAATGGGATTGAGAGTCTCTCCATTTTACATGAGATGAGCTATTCAATTTGATTGTTACCATCTTCAGGACAACTGGGTTTCATCATTTAACCACTGATGCAATGGCGTTACACTTCTCGATTTATCTTATTTTATCAGTGAATGTTTTCTGCATACTCAATGAATTGACAACTGTCATTGACATTTACCAGTTATTGGACAATTATCATTGATGCCTGCATCATCCTCAGTATATATGATGCTATGTCCAAGATTATTGCGATTAGAAATTAAATTGAAAACAAAACAAAGAAGTTGAATTGAAAGTTTTGTTTCATTGTTGACCTCATTCGTATAACTAATTATCAAACATCTAAAACCTAATGTCTAACAATTTTAAATAAATTAATTGTCATAATGTAATGTATTGTATTGTAATGTCATAAATCATTACTGTTATGACGACTTCGTCTTGACGCTGTTTATAATTCATCCTTATCCATCGATATTACAGTAACGAACAGTCAAATGATTTTTGCTATAACTTTTTTTAATGTTTAGGTTTTCAGGGTTGAACAAAAGAAGTACAAACGACGTAAAATGTGCATCTGATAAGATTCAAATCATGAAAAAAAACTTGCATAAGCTTTTCTCTCTCTTGCTCGATGGGATTTCATATCACCAAGAACGGCTGCTAATTTGGCCTGGATTGATTTTTCATTTGGAGATAATTTTAGCGCTTGTCTTAGCGATTCAAGGGAAGCTTTATAATCACGAAATCCATGAAATGCCTGACCTCTCCTGAAATGTGCCTTTACGTTTTCTGGTTCCATATCAAGAGCTTTATTACAATCAATCAAAGCATCGATGTAACGCTTTGATTTAGTTTTGCATGCAGCACTGTGAAAGATAAAGAAGGCAATTAGTATAACTATTAAATTTATTTAAAATGAATGATGTAATTTAACAATTACCTGTTGAGTAGACATTGCAATCTAAGTCTTTTTACCCTTTTTATTTCTTCATCGCTCATTTTCTCATCGTCATGTAAGACTTCCAAATACCGTAAAGCTTTTGTATATTTTGAGCAAGCAATAGTGAAAGCTTCTTTCTTATAAAGTCTGTTTCCGACTAATTTCATCTTTGCCGCAGCTTTTACTATCAAATCAACCTGTAAATTCAAAGTAAAAATCATGAGTCAACCTGTATTTTAAAGTAACAGCTATCAACCCAACCAACATTGTTTAGATCTAAATCTGAGTCCTCTGGAAATGGAGGATAAGCTTCACCAGTTCTATCATTTGGCATCCAACCAAAATCTTGGCCATGTTTCAACTGACCACAATCAATGATAACGATAGGCTATAAAAAAGTAAGGATTGAAATTAATGTCAAATTGATGAAATAAGAAAAAATTAAATTCCATTTGTTGTGCTATGAGTTTTTTTGATAGGCAAGTTAAAAGGAATTTATAGATGAAAGTTGGATTGAAAAAGTTTTATTGAACTCTATCATTCCTATATTGTATATCGATTTAGATTGATATTTATATTTATATTTATGTTAGGTTGCTGGATATTAAAGAATAATTAACTTACTTCAATAGATCTTTCTGTATCTGGATTTGTATAGATATTTTCAATCAAATGAACAATGCCCATTCCTTTGCGAACTTGACCAAAAGCAACATATTGATTTTCCAAATGAAATAAAGGTACAGTAGAGATGAAGAACTGAGATCCATTTGTGTTAGGTCCACTGCTGGCCATACTGACAATTCCAGGTTTGTCATGCTGAAGAGAGTAATAAAATACAAATAGATTGAAACCACTGTAAATTTATTTAATTTGAAAATCATTCAATTGATATATCATGTTAATAAAAAACTAATTTACCTTGATTTCAAACCCTTCATCATCGAATGTAGGCCCATAAATGCTTTCACCACCAGTTCCGTCATTATAATGAATGTCTCCACTTTGTATCATAAGATTTCTGACAACTAAAAGATAAAATATTATAAATAATAGAAATGGCAGATTGAACGAAAGGCAAATATCATTAAAACAATTAAATTACCTCGATGGAATGCTAATCCTTTATAAGTCAGCTTATAACCTGATTCTGACATTCCAAGTTCACCTGTGCATAGGGCGCGAAAGTTTTCACTAGTTCGGGGTACTATCTTATCAAATAGTTCTATCACTATTCTTCCAACTTTGATTAGAAATCAAAATCGTGATGTCAAATGTTAATATTGATGAAAGAAATAAAGTGAGATTTAAGGTCTGTTCAAGCGACATTTATGATATAGGGTTTACTTACCCATTTCACCAGAAATGGCAATATCGAGATAAACGAAGATTCCTTGTGTCAAATCAAGCTTTCCATTACTCATTGTTGATTAAACACTAAATGATTTTGTTGTTGGATCAAATTGACACGAATTGGCAAGAATTAAATAATAAATTAAGTGAATGAAATTTAACGTGAATAACAAATCGAGAGGATTAAAACACAAAATAAGATACAATTTAAAGTTTCACAAATCTTCAAAAGGAATAGATAACAAAAGGTAGAACCAAAAAGTGTTCAAGAGTAATCTTTGAAGTCTAATTTAATGTTTGAGGAAACATTTTTAATAATTTATTGTTGTTACGAAATTCAAAAAAGTTGAGCCAAGATGAATAATGTTAATTGATTAGAAATAATTAAATAGTTACTCATTATGATTTACATCATCTAGCCATTTGTTACATTAAGTAACAGCATCAGCATTAGCAATGTTATTTCAAATGATTAATAGATATAGCAAAAATTATCTAATTGTTTTGTATTCTTTCAATAGTAATTAATCAGTATTTAAGCTTCTCCCAGCTTATTTCCATTTATTCGACACTAATAGATGATCATTTTGTGGGTAAAATCATTTTGATTAAATTGAGAAATAATAATTCTTCGAGATACAAGCTTTACTATCGATATAACGGTGTGATGATAGCGAACACAGTTTCAGCTAATGGTCTAAACACTAGAGTATTTAAACTGGATTTAAGTAGATGGCGAAGTAATGACAAATAAAATCCAATGTCTGTATTTAAGTGAATTTAAAAGAACAGAAATAAGCTGATTTTGATAAAATGGACCTAAAAAGTTATCACAAGATATGAACTCGAATTTAAGTGCTACTGTCTTAAAATAAATAGGGTGCATTTGTCTTGAAAACACGCTGAAAATCCACTTGTTGAGACATCAAAATATTTACAGAGATGAAGTCAACTTGAATTATTGGTTGAAAAATAAATATTGGAATGGACTTATAAAAATCCTTTCAGGAAGGATTAGAAGAGATGGCCGCTGACTTACTTGTATTTGAGCTTGAATTTCATATAATCTGATATAAAGTTTGAGCATTTACACATTATCAGAGATTTTCTGTGACTTAATAAACTCATCAGTAATTGGAACAAGACACTCTTTGAATAAAATTCAATTAGCTAATTTAATTTGAGTTTTAGATACTTGGTTCATCATTTTCTTTTGTCTTTATGTTTACTTTCAATATTTCGTTTGCCAACAAGGAGGCTTTTCATTTAAATGAATAACGCTTCAAGTTAAACAAATATTTGGCATTGGATGAAATTTTTGTTCTCGTGTTAAGATTATTTTGATTGAAATCGTTTTTGATAAAAGTAACTTAATGAGTCACCCAGGGGCGATAAAGCAATTGATTGTGGATAAACTGTTCACTGTTCAAACAATGTGCTTTTCCCTTTCCTGTTGAAAAATTATGTATTTCTATCAACTTGTGTTCAATTTTTCAACATTTTGAAATATATTTGACTTGATTTAATAATTTTATAAATAGAATCAAAACTTAAATCACTTTCAATTGTGAATAGAAACAATTTAATCATCGAGTGGAGTTGATAAAAACATGAAATGACAAGCTACTTATGGGAGTACCTTTCGAAGATTGACAATCACAATTGGGTTTAGAATTTTGAATATTTCCAAAAAGAAAAAAAAATTAGCCGCAAGACAATGTATAATTAAGTTCATCAAAACCAATAAGATGCGTTATTTAAGAGAAAGGAGACAAAAATGGAAATGATTAGAAGTTAGCTTTAACGTCTTCAACAACAGTTTCCACTTGAATTGGAATTGTTTCCACTTAAGGGTACACTGGAATTTGATGGTGAGTGTTGGGGTCCGACTTTGATTCCGTTAGACTCGTTATTGATGTCAAAAACACCCTCTTGGATTTTTTCGTAGATTTCCTTCGCAGTATTGATGAAAGCTTCCTCTACGTTGGTCGCAGTTTTGGCCGATGTTTCCATGAATATAAGACCATGTTCTCGAGCGAAGTTTTCACCTTCTTCCTTTTTCACTTCACGTCGTGATTCAAGATCACTTTTATTACCAATTAGCATTATCACCATGTTAGAATTGGAATGTTGACGAGCATCTTCAAGCCATGTAGTCAAATGGTTGAAAGTATCACGTCGAGTGATATCATAGACCAATAATGCTCCAGCAGCACCTCTGTAATAGGAACGAGTGATAGACCTGAATGCTTCCTGGCCTGCAGTATCCCATATTTGTAATTTAATTTGTTTACCATCAATAGGTATCATACGAGCACCAAACTCAACACCAATTGTTAGATCATGTACTGGTTGAAATCTTTTATCAGTAAACTGTAAGAGCAAACATGATTTACCAACTCCTAAAGTACGTCAAAAAATCAGAAAAAAAGAGAAATCATTAGTAAAATGGACAGGAAAAAGCTTTAACCAAGCAAATCATTGACAAGCAACCATATTGAAAGATACGGAATACAAACAAGAGGAAAAAATGGAGAGTATCGAAAGAAAGAGAAAGTAAAAGCAAAACAGAGAGAAAGAGACAGAAAGATGGAAGACACAAAATCAGGGGAAACAAAAAATGAAAGCAAAAAGAAATTTAAAGCTAGATCAGGTGTATTAGCATAATCAATCATATGTTAGTTTATAGACAATTAAATTATTACCTGTATCACCAATGATAATATATTTAAAAAGAAACGCATAAGACATTTTGACGATGGAAATTTATGTTGTTTACAAATAATATATTAAAAGCTGAGTCCCTTTGAAGATCTGTTTGTAAACAAGACTGAGAGTTGCAACTGTAATTTATTGAAATATTACTCATGATTTGAACATCGATGTTAAATCGATTTGACTTCGATCTATCGAGCTTAAAGTCGAGTTTGTGTGCTTTGATAAATTAATCCTTGTTTGGTTGAACAAATTTAATTGCTCTCTTCCTTATTAATTAGAGAGAATCAATTAATCCAATAATCAAATAATAGTATTAAATTTTGCTGAAAAATTTGTTGCAAAATTCGATACAATTGATTGTATGAATATTGCTCATTTTTAAACAAAATTACCATGCAAATGAAAATGGGAAATTGTACTTTTTTTAGAAATGTAAAGCATAATGATTACATTGTTTAATCACCAACGTTCAACTATCATTTTTAATTTAGGTGCTATTAATAGTAAAATTGTCTGATATATTCAAAGATGGAGTCATCTAGAGTAAACATAAATAAATCGATAGCAGGTAGTTAAATGTAAATTGGGAAGGAAATTGTTCGAGGACGGAAATGGGAAATGTTGAAAGGAAAATTTAAAGTGCAATTTGACGGAAAAGCGTCAAAGCAAACTTCTCAAAATCTTGGCAGAAATAATTATCACAAAAGAATTGTTTGTTTGTTAAAATTTAAATTTGAACAACAAATTTGAATACAAACTTTAATAGCAGAGTTAACAAAAAATAGACAGTGCATGTGTTAGTTAAATGCTCTCTTTCAAAACTATACAAATTTAAATTTACTGAATCAGTCTCATTTGTCCAAATTTTAAAACTTCTAGAGATAATTTTCATCTAATCATGATCTATGGGCTGGTTGATTATTCCCTTGTTGAAAATTTTGTACTTGTGGCTGTTGCTGTTGAGCATTATTGGATCCTTGTTGATTGGCCTAAAAATAGACAAAAAAAGTTATTAGAAAAAGTAAACGAAATTGATCATGAAATAAATCAACGGAAATTATGAAATTACCGCATGAACGGGTTGATTCGAAGGTATGGCCGAGTAGACAGGTTTATTGGGAGCAGCTTGGGCAGATCCAGAGGGTGGTTGGACGTTATACTGTTGATTCGGGGCAGCTTGTTGGGGAGCACCAAATTGATTAGCTGATCCTGATGGAGGAGGAATGTTATTATTAGGATTAGCAACATGGGCGATTTGGGGATTCCCCGATGAATGTATCTGAGGTTGTTGATGCATTTGTGGCTGTTGTTGGTAATTTTGATACTGTTGATGTTGCATCTGTGGTGGTGGTGGTGGAGGTGGATGTTGTTGACCATAATATTGTTGTTGATTTTGATGGTTACTCTGAGGTTGATACTGAGCATTTGGATGAACAGCAAACTGAGGTGGAGCTTGATAGCCACCATGGCCTGGAGGAGGAGGGTGTTGTGGATAACCCTGATGTTGAGCAACTTGATATTGAGGCCCATGGCCAAATTGTTGATGAGGTGGTGGAGGACCTTGCATATGTGGTTGGTAGGGAGGCATGTAGTATCCATATTGCTGAGCAAGGTATTCCTGTCTCCTTGCTTCGTACTGTCGTAATTCATCTTCATTAAACATCTGCTGCTCATCGATTCCTTTCCATCCTTCATCACGCTCAAAGTCAGCCTTGTGTGTTAAATCAATAAACTCTTTTCGGCTGATAAGGCCATCTTTATTTGAATCTGCTTCCTTGTAAATATGTTCCCTCATACGATGATACTCTTCTTCCATTTCATTGGGATCATCTTCTGGATTATTAGGGTCATACATTTTTTTCACTTCTATAGACAATAGAGCTTCAACTTCCTCAGGATCCAAGTATCCATCACCATTAACATCGTGAAGCGCAAAAAATGTTTTTGGATTGAACTCTTCTTTAGGCATATGATCTTGTTCCTCCCAAACTTCTTCAAATTGCTGTTTACTACCAGGATGGTGGACACGAGGGTGCTCTTTATGTTTTTGCACAGTTTCATCGTGCTTTTTAACGGCTTCAGTTTTCTGTTCTTCAGTCATATTTTTCAAACTTTCTCGATATTGATATTCTTTCTCCATTTCGTATCTCTTAAACTCTTCTCTCCTTTTTTTGTCGAGCTCCTCTAAATCATGAGTGGCCTGGAAAAGACAGAAACAGTGAACGAAATCGTCGGGAAAAAACAAAAATTAAATACAGTTACAATTAGAGACTATACATTTTTTCAGAAGTTTGAGAGGATGCTGTTTAAGGGAGCAACTTTTGAAACTTGTGTTATAGATCATTGACTTGCAACTGATAACCTTAATTTTAGTTTCAATATGTTCCTCCACATCTCCCCTCAATTTTTATAGGTCATGTAATATTTAAACTTTCACTAAGAGTGTACCTTAACAATTAATTTGTGTAAATCTTGGGCTTCAAATGAATGGGGATTGTTGTGATCCAAGTGATCTAGAAAAAGAAATGCAATCATTTTAGTGTTATGTCAAATCAATGAAAAGGATAAGATAAGAAATGAATTTAGCACTTCTATTACAGCTCAGAATTTAGAAAATCAGTCAATTAAATCGACTGGATACAAACCTGTACCAAATTCTTGCAAATCATGTTCTTGTTTCGCTAATCTCCGCAGTCTATCCATTTCAATCCTTTTTAACTCATCGAGCTTAGTCCGTACATTGTGATTAACAAAATTAAGCTCAGAAGCAATGGCTCCAGATTTAATATGTTCAGCTGAAACATTTTCCAGCTTTTTGGCGAAGTCTTTGTCCTCTTCTAATACTGATACAACTTCTTGTAAATAGCGCCCATATTCCAAACCCTGAGAAGATAAAGAATCCATTTACTTATAATTTGCATTGACACACTTTTTAAACGAAGCTTGAATAATCAATTTAGAAAAAACAAATCCACAAAACAGTTGAATACTAACCAAATCATTGATTACGGTATCAGGATCTTTACCAAAATCACTTTCCACAGGTTTATTTTGGTCAACAGGGGCCGAACTAGCGGCCTGTAACATTAAAAAAATAATTGTCCAGGTAATCATATTTATTGCACAATAATTTTACTCAAACTGTATAAAAACTAATAACAATTATTTAATAAGTCCATTGGGATTTGAGTAAATTATGTTATGAAGACGTAATCACAATTCAAACAAAACAGATGTAATTCAACAATCAATTATAAACAGAGTGTTGATGTTTATGTTCACTTCAAATATTATAGTTCTTATTGAGCTCCAAGTTGAATATATTTTCACAAAAACAACTCGCCTAACAATTAATCCCAATTAATAACCAATATAATAAAGATTCGAGATTAAATCGAAGATTAATTGACAAAATTAGTTAAATATGGTAAAAAATATAGCAGGAAGAGAACAGATAACAAACTTGAAGTTACAGTAGATTGTCAAGTACTAGTGTTTCTGCAATACTATCGATTCTTCGATATAAATCGATACTTTTTTCAACGATAAAAATTGATACTTACTCCGATTATATCGGTATCAGTCGATACTTTTAAACCGCTTAACTTTATGCAGAAAGTTAGTTTTATAAGAAAGTTTAGTCAAATTCTGTTTAATGCCAGCATTATTTCTCTCCAGCAGATTATATTATAAGAGAAAAAAGAATCAAATAAAGCCTGAAAACTACGAAAAATTATGTTTTCTTAACTCTGCGCCATTAAAACCAAAAATATTATGCAATTTTAATTTATTGCTCACGATATTTTACGATTTTTCCGATTTTTTCATTGATATTTTTCGATACAAGTATCGAACGATATAATCGATACATTGCTCAAAAAAATCGTTTCTTTCGATCCATACCAGAAAAAAAAATCGAGAAACACTATCAAGTACACATCAGCGTGATTCAAATGTATGACAAGACGTCATCCAAGGGAACGTTGCTGAATTAAGTTTGGCGAATTGTACAATCATGTGTATCATGTTTATATTTATTTTCATGAAATTTTCATGGTTTAAGAATTTAAATTAGAGAAAATTAACTGAAAGGGAAGATCAGAGGTCATTCTTGATCAAATTTGATTTAAATTATAGAAAACCATTTCATGCAAATGAATGTAAAATTGTTGATTGAGTGAAAATTATTGATTCATCAAATATTTTATAAATTAAATTTAAAATCTAGATATAATTACAACTTTAAATAAATTGAATTCAAACAATAGCAACTTAAATCGCCTAACTAATAAGATTTAGGTTTTATATCCAAAACAATTATGTTTTTTAATTTTTCAGCTTGCATTTTAGCTTCATATGTTCGAACCTCTTGCTCTAGAACTGCCCTCGGATCGATCCGGGGAAGTCTTGGACATTTGCATGATGCTCGTAATTTAGTTGCTTCATCAATAAGACCTTCAAGATGCTCAGCACGGGAATAATGAGCAGGGTGCGTTGACAGAAATTCAACATTTTTGATGACATCAATTTCAGGGGGCAGACCTAATTCTAGTGTCTCGTAGAGACCCATTCGTCTCCAAAATGCTACGAATTCACGAATATCAAAGCAAGCTTTGGCAGCCATAGTTAGACCAACTTCATCTGCTTCTGACTCCAATTTACGATTAAAAGGTAAAGTAATGGTTAAACTGGTAATCTTATTCAAAATAAAATGAAACGCAGCTGCTAATGCATCAGAAAACGGAAGGGCCCATATCAGTGCTATTCCTATCATCATAATGAAATCTATCCATGATGTATAACTTAAAATCTCAGCAGCATGTCCACAGATCGAATGAGCCATCTCGTGAGCCAAAATAACTCCCAACTGATCATCATTTTTACATAAGTTGAGTATGCCTAAAGAATATAAAGAATATAAAATATTTTGATTAGTCAATGAACGGTAAAGTATCGGAAAATGGGGAATAATATAAAGTACAGGGAAATGATAAAACAAATAAAATACCTGAAAAGACGAATATCTGCCCAGTCGGTGTAACGAAGGCATTCTTTATTTCTGGCGCATTAACAACAGTCACAGTCCACTTTTTGGTGAATATTTGCTTGATATCTTGGTTGGCATTTAGAATTCTCATTGCAACTCGCTCAATTTGTTGACATAATGGATGGTTTGCTGGAAACAATTTATCCTGATAAAGAGCAAGTTGTGCTTGAAATTCAATATCAGCTAATGATGAAAATTGGTCTTCAGTGAAAAGGATAAATCTTTTTCTCTTAGTTACTGGAGTTTCTTGAATATGGGTTTCAAAGAATACAAAACCTATTATCCCTAAAACAGCTACAACTAGACCAATTTTTTCGGCATTAGCCATGAGCCATTGTTTAAATAACTGCTTCTTATTGGGAGGTAAGGCACTGTACCATTTACGGATCGATCTACCCATAAGGATGGCAGCTAATTTACCTAATGGACGTAAGATTACCCAAATAATAGCAGGAACTTGTCGGGGCTTTGAAGTGTGAAAATATCTCAGGCCACATAGTGATGGGCTATCAAAACATTTTTTTATCCCCAAATTGGCTGAAAGATAAGAACGGAATTATGAAGAATCATTTTAATCATTTCTGAGCATTTCATTTTTCATCTAATTACTTACCAGGGTTATTATAGGCTTTTGCAGATCTATTCAGAAGTACTGTTGAGAATTGACGAACATGTTGGTGTTTTATCTTGGTACAATTAAATATCTTATTAGGTTGGCATAAAAGTACCCATGAGGATACTCCTTTGCTCAATCGGGCCAAATTGTAAGCCATAGAACAGAACTGGTCATTCTCCCGAAACAATCACTTCATCATTGCCCTGAGAGAGAAAATAAAATTTGACAGATATAGATTACAAAATATTTCTATTCGAAGCCAAATATTTAAAAATTGACTATAAAACAATGAAAACTAAACCACTTTATGATGATTTTATCTTTTACTCACTCAGTTGATTAATTATCAGTCAAAACATCAATTGTTACAAGTTGATTTATCATGAACAGATGTTTAGAGTATTAAATATAAATAAAAGATGGCAAAAGTATCAAAAACAACTAAAGAGTGATACTGATCCAGCAAAACCACATGAGTGGTACAAAACTTCAGGGAAATAAAGAGTAGATTATAAATAGACCAAACAATCAAATTTGATGTTGAAGTGCCAAAATGAATGAAAAATCTTCAGCAAGAAAAACAATAAAATATCGCACAAAAAGAGCTATCACTGAATTGATGATATATCAGACATTCCTGATTAATTCATTAATCTTACCTTAATTCTGAAAGCGACAGGTCAATTGAGAAATTGATCAATAAAACAAACAAAAACAAAAAATGTTTAACTTTTTACTTTTGAAAAACCGGGATCTACATTTGGTAAGAGTATTTGATCCAAGATCCGATACTAAAAACTCGTGATTTTTAGCTGAGGTAAAGTTTGGCTGCTAAAGAATTTCATTCCGATAAATAAGGTAATGAAATTTAATAGAAGAGTAGAAATTATTATCAAAATTTTGTTTTAGTAGGCTTTCATTTTGGACATATTCAGACTAACGATTCTCCTTTAACACAGTATTTCAGATAGATGAGATACGACAGAGCCGCAAGATTTTCGACTCAATCCGGCTGAAGGCTTAATAAACTCTGTTTGGCGGTATTGTTTTCAAACAAATTATGGATGTTTTGGTTTAAGCGTTTTTTTATTGTGAATTCATTTTTCTAGTGAAAATTATTCTAGTGTTTATTTAATAGTCATGTCTCAACAAATTAATTCCACTTTTCGGGGAGAAGAATCCCAAATAAGAGAGCTCTTAAATATGTTCCAAGTAACAATTTTAAAAACTGGTCATGATACACTTTTGCTGGAAAGTAAGTTTGATAGTGATTTAAAACAAAAGCTTAAACCTAAACTTACTAAGTACATGAAAAATTTGGTTGAAATGGATCAACGATTGTCAAACGAGAAAGAAGCTGCATCTGAAGCAAACAATGATGTAAGTTAATCATTTTTTAGTTACTCATTGACTGTAATCTTATGTATATCTTATGTATTTCTTTATTCAGATAAATGCAGCTTACAGAGCATACAGTGATCCCACTACTCTTGCCTCTGAAGACGAAGATCCACTACCAGAAGAGCCAGTTGAATTTGATGATAATGGTGAACCTGTGTATCATTGGCCACCTGCAAGTTGGGGTAATACGACAACCGGACAGAATTACCTAAGAATTTTAGAAGATGATAACTTTGATATATTCTTTGATCATCTTATTAAAATCAAAGATGGACAACCGAAAAATAAATCAGACCCTAGAGTTAAAAGCTTAAAGAATTTATTAGCTCAGAAAGAAAATAATAATGGTGATGTTGAAGATGAAGACGATGAACCAATAGCGTCCGAAGTTGAATCTATCCCAATTGATCCAATTACCAAGAAAAAGATTCGAGTTCCTGTTAAAAATGTTAAATGTGGCCATATTTACGACAAAGATAGCATCGCTAGTTACATGAAATCGACTAATCCAAGGTTTGTTTATAACATTTATTTGCTGGTTTCAAAATAGCTTCTTAAGATTTCGAATTTTTATTCCTTTGTTATGCTTTCATGTTAATGATTTACCTGTCGTTTTTCATCTAGATGTCCTTATATTGGCTGTGTCAATAGAGCACCAATCAGACCAGATGATGTTGTCAACGATGAAGAAACAAGACAGAAAATTGAATACCTTATGGCATTGGAAGATAATGAATCTGATGATGAATAACATAATATTGCAATTTTTCATTACTTTTCTATTGTTATTCCAGTTATTATTGTATTATTTAATATTTCCCCACTTCAATAATTTCTTTTCGATCTCTTTCATACACTACGTTCTTGGACTGATTCCAGCCATCATTCAAAAATAAATCAATGCATCAAGGTTTGCTGATATGATGATTCGAAATTTTTTCTTTGCATGTTTGTTTTGTTGTATTGTCATCATCAATTCTATGGCTGTGCATTCTAGCTATTCATTTGACTAGAAAACATTAACCCTGGAAATGAAATCTACATTATCGTGATGACTGATGAGTTGATTTAGATTTCAATTCTAGATCGTCCCATTTCTCTCATATTTATTATGAGGTCAAAATTTGAAGGCCGCTCCATTGAATCACAAGTTTATCCAATGACTGAGTCAAAAAAGGTTGACATGGATATTATTTGCTGTCATGATATGTATGATATTATGTGTATTCCAAAGAAATATTTGCTAAAACGGTTTTTTATTCAACGCCGAGAAATGGCAATTGGTTATAAATTCCACCTCCCTTCCTTGAGGAACCAAAACCAAAGATGAAATCAAAACAGGAAAAAGGGAAAATTTTGGTAGTCGACTGTCTTTTCATTAAATTCTGGCACAAAAAGAGAACTCAGAAAAAAGTGAGATTAGCAATCAAATTGACCATTCAATGTCTTTCAGTTGCGATGAAAAGATTAGAAAAAAAGATTTCACCGATTGTCGTAATTGATAATTTTTAGACAAAAACAATTTATTGATGAATCACTTATTATGAACATGATCTTGTGAGGTAAATACTAATTTCTGCTGCATCTTGCCTTTCAAGATTTTCGCTGGTGTTGATAAAGATAAAAAGCAAATGAAGTGGAATGAAAATGGCTGTGTGCGTGGTTCATTTCACGTTTACATCAATTCTTGCGATCTTCATTAGTTTACCAGGGAAGATGATAAATTATTAACTAGGGGTAAATCTGGTGAATTAATTAGGCAATAAAAGCGAAGTCAATCTACAAGGAAAATATAAACTTCCAGAGGCAAAGCTAAAGGCAAAACCATAGTTAATGTTAATTATAAAGTAACATATCGGCACATTATTCAAACAAACATTCAAACTGACTTCAGCCATCCTCGAATCAATCCAGATCAATCTATTAAATGGTAAACATTCAGAGAGACTCGAACTGACATCAACCATTACATCAATTTAAAAGGAAAAGATTCGCAAAAAGGTTTCATTGTCGTAGATTCTGTTCTCACTGATTTTACGAGAATCGTTTAATTATCTAATAATGATCAGGCGTACTTCAATTGAAGGAAATTTGAATGCATTTATTTTTGATCTCACATCAAATTGTAATCGATAATGACAATATAATCGAATCATCAATCAGTGTATAAATGGACACATTGTTTAACAATTTACTTGTTGAAATGAAATAACTTTTGTCAATTTTTAGGTTAAATTTTGTTCTGATTGCTTTAAATAGGTCAACTTGATTCAGATTTTAAATTACTTGGAAAGTCCAAGAATTGAAAGGGTCATTTTATGAATATCAATTGACTTGATTAGAAGCCAACATGAAAAGCATCTTGTCAGTGAAACAAATTAGCACAATTGTAAGCTTTTAACTTGCCAAGACTATCAATTTACCCTAATTTAACGATTTAAAAGTTCATTAAATTAATCTTGAATGACAATTTACATGAAAAATATCAAGATAAATAAACATAAAATGGCCTCTTATTTGCATTTGAATGTCATTGGTTAGCAACTTGCTTAGGCATCACAACTCTATGCATTTTATTGTAAACTGTATTGTACTTATTAAATTATTCACAATAAAATATAAATCATCATTAATGATCAATATTGTATTAAATTGTTCTGGTAATTTCAATCTTCTGTCGACCTCAATATTCAGGTATTACCTTTATTTGGCTGTTTAAACTGTTAATATTGGCTTTGATTGTTGAACACTATTTGGGATTTTACCAGGTTTCACCTAAAAATTTACACTGTAATGGTAATGATCTAAATTGTCACAATAAAGGTTATTGCTGATGTTACCATTTACAAGGTTAAATATGAATGAATGCAAATTAAATCTCATGGCACTATTCAGTAATTAGATTGAATGTGAACAATTTATGCAGGTTTAACTTGTTATTGATTAGAGTTCAATGGTTTAATTGAACTAGATCATGAGTCGACTATTTTCAACTCGTCATTAGTTAAACGAGTTATTATTAAACGAATCAACTGGCTTGATGGAAAAGTCGAAATTTAAAATTAAAAAACATTTTCCTTTCCTAAGATCATTGACATCAATAATAGGATTGAATAACGCTCCAAGTTGATTATTGAATAAGTTGATAATCTAATCTGTTTGACACTTTAAAAAATGGAAAAGATTAATTTATTTAAAACAGTTAATTGATTAATCCGTTAAGGGGTTTTTGACGCTTTCAAATCAGTGAAAGGTTTGTTTGTTAAAAAGCATAAAAAATCACATAATCAAGGATAAAATAACTGGATATTAACAATTAAATGTTAATCACTGAAGAAACAAATGAAAAGGTAAAAAAAGATTACATTTCAAATGGATAAAGCAATTCATCATGTAACATTCAGAGTAAATACGAAACATTGAAGGCGCATATTTTTTGTTATTTTGGTCATTGATTAAGTTACCTTTTAGCTTAAAGGTAATTTGATTACAATTAAATTGTAATTCTAATTATGGGTAGATCTTGCAGTATGACCATAGCAATCGATGATATTAACAAACAAACACCTTTGTTTTTGTGTTTATTGCAATACTCAATAAGGTAATGATCCCTTGGAAAGCTTGATTTTTAATAACAATTATTCACCGTAGATGCAAGATGATGACGATTATTGAAGTTGATTGTTTGTAGTTTCTTGTTGGTGATCATTTGGTTAACAATGTTTGGGGAAAATACCAACAACTTAGTTAATTGTTGTATCAATGTTTCCATCAATTAGTCACATCTTTACTTGCTTCTGCATGATGATCATCTTAAAAACCACTTTATCTTCCCTATCTGTGTTTCACCTTTTTGCTTTATTACATTAAATGTGTGTGTGTGTGTCGGTTAATTGCCATTGTTAATTGTTGTTTGACTTGACTGTTATATTTTGTTACCAACTATCATCATCACTATTATTACAATCACCATGATAACCTCCGAACCTTGGAGATATCTTTTCCTATTATCGGGTTATTCCAGATTTTTTCCAATCTTTCCATGTTTTCCTCTACTTAGGAAATAATCAGTCCTTTTCCAGTAGACAAGTAACATGGATCAATGAATTTAAACAGTACATATGATTGTTCTGAAATGAAATAGAAAACAAATATTCAGTAGAATCATCAAAAAGGTTGAGAGAGAAAAAAAACCTAAACAAGTCAAGCTGAAAGCAAAATTAACATAATTATGGTAACATTACATGATAGTTTGATGAACTGGGAAAAATTGAGAAGCAAAAAATCTTTAAGATTCCATCATTATGACATAATAATAATTATAGTTATATCAAAAATTATGATGATAAAACTAATCACAATTGCGATGAAAGACAATGAGATTATCAAGAAAAGCACGAATAAATTGACCGAGACTCATGACATGGGTTCAATTCATTAATGCATAATCTTATTGAAGCTTTACATGGTCTAATCAGGCTCGTTACATGGTACTGCGAATCATTGAAATTTGAAAAATTTTCAACAGTTGAGCAATAAATACCATTTGATAGCTTTCCAGGGAACTTTTCCAGAAAGGCTGGGAATTCCTTTTGCATGTTTTAACCCCTTTCTTGTGTATTATCGGCCGTCTTCTTTATATGTCGAATTTCCCTGAACAATAGAGTTTGAATAATGATATGAAAGACTAAATAAATTTCTCTCTATTGGAGATGATATGAGCCCATAAGGATGTATTAAAATCTGAGGTAAATTCATGCTTGGAAAGAGTTTTGAGATGATCATGAGTACTTACTTTATTAGATTGAATTAAAGGGAAATTTTAACCGTTTAATGTTTGATAAATGATGATCATATATTAAACTGGCAATTCCCAGGTTAACCCAGGTTAACCTTGAAATGATTGAAACCTAAGAATGACGTTTTCGAGTTATAATCATCAAAGAAAATATGACTCTTTGGTGTTAGCGCTCTTTCGTCCTATTAGCTTGTTCCCTTAGCTTCTTCACAAATTCATCTCCACATGTTGAAAGGAGAGAATAATTTTCTTTCTTCAGCAAAAGCATGATTATGACGATCACAAATCATCAAGTTAATTCAATTTCCCAGCAGAAAATATTCTTTCAAGGTGATTCAAGGCTCCCAGGGCAATCTGAGTTTCCATCTTCATCAGCATTCTCAATTAATTTTACATTGATTTGTATTGGTATATCTGTGAGTGCAAGTATTTGCCAGCAATCCTAGAAATATCGTTGCCACATGAGATGGACAAATTAGGAAAAAGAAGAAAACTTGCAACCTGAAGAAAGAAATGAACAAGAATAATTAAATAAAAAGTTACCATGTAAAGTAATTATACTAACTTGATTTTTGGCCAATTTGTCGGCTAATTGATATTGATGGCTGTTGTCGATGATGATGATGATATTAACTAAAACTTCAGGTAATGATCAAATGAAGATTGATTAGTCTGAGTAAAGTTAACTGTTGCTCTTTGCTGTTTCCACGAGATCCCATTGCTTGAGCTTGAAAAAGTGGTTACACGATGTAATAACAGTAAAAACGTTTAGCAGTAAAAACAGGTGAGACAGATCACGTAACCATGTAAAGTTGGCGTAATTTTAGATTCATCTAGGCCTTTCTATCTCTTTCTCTGGTTTACTGTTTTAATGAAAGCTTAATCAACCGGATTAATCCAGTTACTTTTTTGGTAGACAGGGTCTACTTCCATGGGTTTGTCTCTTGAAGATAATCTTGATTTGTCTAAATTGCCTGGAGGAAATAGGCAAGCATGATAAGTATGAGGTTTAAAAAACTATGTTTTCTGTCAACATAGAAGATGTTGATACAAATAATGAGGTGACCTGAAAAACAAGAAAAGAGTCAAATTCCGTTCACTTTTCATCTTTTTATCACATTTTAAAATATAAAAGTTAGCATTGGTTGGTTCAATCCATTCGAATCCGGAATTCACTGATGTTTGTGATAACCTTAAAAGGCCCTTCAGGGAAAAGATCAATGTTGGTGACAAGAAATGAAAACCGATTCAAGATTTAAAGGGGAATAAAAAAAAACGTTTATACAAACTCACATGTTAAGGCTAAAATTAAAATTGATAAGACCTATTGATTACACCTGTTTAAAGAGGCAACAAGTGATAGATCAATGATCAAGATATTGACAAAGACTTGATCCGTCTATCGATAAACAAATCCCAACAAATGGCTAATCTTTTAAAATATCGTCTCTTTTTAATAATTTTGATAACTGCGTAATTGTAGTCATGTTTCCATTTTTACTGTTTTAGATTATATTATTTCAACATTTCATGAAGCCTTGATTATTTTAGTTAAACAATTGTTCATGATAATTGATTAATGTAATTGAAAAATCTGTTAATTCTTTTGATTAAATGGCCAGCAAGTGTGAATTGATAAGGTTATTCAATGATTGACACTGAAGGATTGGTGTAACGGGAACAAAACATTGATGATATTGAATCGCCGTTTTTTTGCTTATGTAAAATAGGTTTAACTATTGGTTAGATTATTTTTATTGCTATCATTGGATGGTTCATGATAAGTATACCGAATAATTTTGTAAAAAAACTAATTAAACCCAAAATTAAAACCAGAAAACCTTCGACCTAAGTGTGTACGTGCTCAACTGAATGGGCTTTACCAGAAAACCAGAAAAGAGCCTCTTGAGGCCTTTTACTTCTGGTTCAAGGTTGATTGGTAATTGTGAATTGTTAAATTGTAATCAGCTCTTTTCCCTCGGTTCAACACCGAGAATAGGAAAAAAAAGATGAACCAGATTCTCATAAGTTGGCTTATTGAGTTAAGGCGTATTGGTTTACAAGTATTTTTGTAATAGAGTTGTTTGTTAGTTTATTTTCAGTCACCTGAGTGTAAGAAGTAAATTGTATCTAATGAGTGGTTGAGTGATATTTCACTGTTTAATAATTTCAAGGTTAATCAGTAATAAGGAGTTTTCCAATTCTCTGATGACAATTATTGTTGAAATATTGTCTGCTATACAGACGAGGGATAAATTAAAAACACATCAAGACTAGGCAAAAGAAATAGCATTAGAAATGGATTTTATCATTATGATTTGGACTTTTCAATGGGAATTAAATTTCTTTTAGCCATTTCTGTCAATAAAACTGATATTCCACTGATTCCTAGAAGATCTTGATAAATATCGCTGAGCGAAATGACACTGTTAAAGACCTTAGAAGGGGCATTGAAACTGACACTGATTGAGTGAATAAACTCAAAATTCTGAAGCTTGCCATGTTGCTAACAGATAATGAAGTGATTTTAAAGATTCTTTAAACATTGCTATTGAATTAAAATTGAAATTGTGCTTTTTGCAATAACAGATAATGTCTAAGAATCTAATATCAAATAACAACGCCTGGATATCCATGGATTGGTTTATAAATGGATAAATTGAAGAATCACAAATTATCTTGTGTGCCATACTTTTTAATTTTACTATCGAGTGTAAGATAAAGCGACAATTTGAAGCTTGAAATTGAATTTTTAAAAGCTCAAATCAAGTGAATGTTTAAGAAAGAGATACAGAAAGAGATGCAGAAAGAAAGAAAGGGAAAAATAAAGCAGACAGGCGAGAGATCACATGACTGGGTTTATCCAGTTTGTTGGTTGCTTTTGCTGAGTGCAGAATAGTGTTGTATCATAAAATTAAAAGCTCAACAGCAGCTTGGTTGAAATCTGTTTTACTTCTTTCCTTTTCTAGTTGTTTGAGGTATATTATAATTCTCAATATTAATTTTTAAACAGTGTGATCATTCTAAATTTTAAATGAACAGATAAATTAAATAAACTATTATTAATAACAATAACATCTTCACTTCTTTTTACTTCTGGTTTCGTGTTTACAATTCAGTGGAATACAACAAATTCTTCCTACCATCAGTAACCACCATCTCTTTTACTTCCATCATTATACACTTATAATTGCTTATTGAAGCAATTATCTTACCTTCTGAGTCTTCATTCATTAACAACAAGCAACAACGGTGTTTCTTTACCATTGGATTACAATTTTTACACCGGATTGATTGTTCTCTGTGTTGGTTATTAATTGTGCAACATATCATTATAACCATATCATTTTAAAATAGGCAACTTATATAATGTCTCACTCCTTTCATCATAGTAAATTAGATCAATTTAAAGGTAAATAATTTTAAATCTTTCATTATTATTTCATTGTATTTATGTCCATGAATCAGGATTTCTTTACTTTATTTTATTTATTTGTTTTTGATCCAAAGGCCTAATCATATGTTTTTTTATTTTTCATTTTAGGAATTAAAAAAAGCATGGGTGATAGTGATGATAAACTGTCCAAAGAGTCACAGGATAAACCAAACTGGACTGATTCTGGTGTTTGTGTTGATAGTGGTTTATGTATTGATATTCATAGTTTACCATCAACCTATGATGTAGATAACCCATTCAAACAGGATGCCGATGGAGATACCATGTTGCATCTTGCAGTCATTCAGGGTATGACTGATTTCGTTAAATATTTAATCAAAGAAGCTCCATCATCAGAATACTTAGACATTATCAATGATGAATATCAGGTATGTACCTTTTCATTATCGATCCATCATATTTCATATTTCTTTAAATTAATGAGCAAGTTACTTAATCATGTTTTACTTTCTCATCTCTCTACAGACACCTCTTCATTTGGCTACAATCACCAAACAATATGGAATAATCAGCCATTTAGTTGCCTCAGGTGCCTCATTATTCATTCGCGATCGCAATGGTAACTCGCCCGTGCACATAGCCTGTCAAAATGGAGACATGATGGCACTAAAATCAATATTATCACCTAGAAATACTAATGACACAAATTCGTCATCATCGTCATCTTCATCACCATTCTCACAATCCTCTATAGAATCTTCATTAAATTCAAGAAATTATGAAGGTAATGATCAATTTCTTATCATTAATGTTAACATTATTAGTTGATTTTTTGGCTGTAGGAGTGAAAAAAGAGTCAGAAGACGAAAAGAATGAGAAAGAGAAAGAAAAAGAGATAAATGCATTTTTGGATTTCCCCGAAGCTAAGTATCAGCGTAAAAACCCTGAGAGAGAATAAGATGTAATTGAATAGAGGGAGGGAAGAGAGCGAGAGAGTGAGAGAGCAAGAAGACTTAGAAGCTGAAAAAACCCAATCTCCCTCCAACTCTCAACCTTCCTTTTTTTGTTCTTCTTACAGGCGAAACTTGTTTACATTTAGCAGTCAAAACTGGTGACAAATCTCTTATTGAATACCTTGTTAACTGGGGCGCTGATATCAATGCTCAGGTAAATAATTATCCACCTCCACCTAACTCATCCATATGTTTCAAAACTATAGCGCACATGAAATTTTGTACATTTTTTCAACTAGAAATAAGTTTTGAGTCTTTAAAGGATTGCTGCTTCTGAAGTGAACGCACAAAAGACGTTGCTTCAACTATTATCAAGATGCATTAGCTTCCGATTTCCTCAACGCTCAGAGTTATTCTAGCAACTGAAATTTTATGAAGCTCTCCAACTATTTAATAGTATTTATCAACTCTAGAAATTGTTATCAGAATAATATCAACATGAATATTACTAAATAACAAATTTTGGCCTGATGTTAGTATTCATTTGCTATTTTCAGCCAGTTTTTTTATTCCGAGAAAAGTGACTAAAACCTCTATTGTATTACTCTCCCAAGATGATGTAAACAGTTTATTTCAGAAATTTTGGTTATCTTAGCTTATTTTTCTTATCAAATATTATATACCTAAGGAAAAATCCTTAAGCAAGTTGAAATACATGAAATAAACGAAATTCATGCGTGCTACCCTTTTGAAACAAAATGCATGATAACCTTAAATCAAAGGGCGTGTGTGTAAATTATCAGCTTATGTCAGAATCTATTTGATTACATGAACCTCATAAACACATGAAATATTGCATAATTAATCTGTATTAACTAAATATCATGAAAAGAAAAACTTGATAATTTGAATTGAGAAAAGGTGATTTGCCTCATTCTTTCTCTTTCACACTCATCCTAAAGATAAACATGATTTTTAAGATGATACTTTCATCTTTTTTATTTTGTTTATCGTTATTCAACAATCCTGGCTTTGCTATTTTTAATCAGTCAGCTCTTCAGGTAATTAACAAAAGCTATCTCAATAAAAATATTAAACATGTAATGTTATAAAAAGATGAAGATAGTATAACGGGTCCGTTGAAAGATCTAATTGTACTCTACACCATCTGATTACCTGTTTTTACGGATTTCCCCGCTCCAATAGAGAACATGAGAAATCTTTATAAGTCCAGTCATTTCTTACTCTCACCATCACATCAAACCTGAACAACAATAGCAAGTCAAAGGCTTATTGCCAGGTTAGATTGTCATGCAAAATGAGACTTTCTTTGCTTCACCAAATCAAGATCAACAATCTGAAAATGGCCTCAAGTTCTGACTACTCACGGATATCATTTTTCCGTATTTTCTCTCAACCTTTTCATCTTTGTTTCCTGTTACAAAATAATTTTTATAAAACCCTGGAAAAGGGTTCCGTATTTTTTCGGATAGATTCATTTTTCTCTCTAGTGTTTTGTTTCTCTTTCAATTATCTGAAAAAAAACCTTTTTTCCTATTAATCAATCCACCTACTTATCAACCAGCCTTTCTACTCGCATGGATAAATATTTGCATCACCTTCCTCAGCGGTTTTTCCCATTATATTTGTACATGTATCCATGATACATGGTTAAAAATCTTGAAAAAGCTGAAAGAAGCGAAGAAAAAATTTACCATTGGATCAACATTAAGCACGCAATACAGTCTTTTTATTAGGTTTGATGCAGCTGTAGTTTTTCAACAATTATTTCTCATTGTTTTTTAGCAATTTAAGTTTACAATGATTTTGTTGAAAGTTACATTGAAATATTAATTTGAATTGAAATGCCTTTTCAAGTATCTAAGGTTCAAGATATGACTGTCTTAGGTTCAAATTTATTAACTTTATTAGATTCCTTGGATGGATTAACGTTTAAAGGTCCATCTTACATAATATAAGCTTGAGCAAAGTTCAATTGTTTACTGAAAATAGTTACGATTTCTTTTTATTATTTTATAATTTTTCTTTACCATTAAGGAAATTAAGGATTTATTAACTATCAGTTATTTAATGCCATAATTCAACCCTCTCCTGCTATTATCTTTTTTCCTGTTTTCTTGACAGTCAAACTTGACTCTTAACAATTAACACAAATTTTCTTATCTCTTATTGGTTGTTTTTATGGCATCTGGAGACTTTTAGAAAACATTGTTTTCACTTAATATCACTTTTATCCCCAGATTATCATATTTTTTTCATGTTATTAGTTAATGATTATGATATAATCTTATGCAATGTTGATTGTGTTTTTGTCTATTCTCATTTAATCATTTGTTTTCAATTATCCTTTCTGATATCTTATGATGATTGTGATGAAATTTTTCATGATTTCCCTCAATACTTTATTATTATGATGTTATTCTAATTATTTTTCTTTCCCTCTTCTCTTAACAGGAAGGCAAAAGTGGTAAAACTGTATTACATTATGCGATATTAGCCCAAAAATTAGATTTAGTTCAATTTTTAATTTACACATGTAAATGTTCACCTGCCGTCCGAACTTATGGAGGCTTAACGCCAATGCACCTTCTTAGAGGATTATTAGAAGTTAACCCAAACAGTGGTAAATTAAGAGCAATTCATCAAATGCTGACAGAATGTGGTTGTGAATGCGAGCCCTACTCAACGGCACAAGATTACGATTCCGATTTTGATTACTATTCGGGACAAGAGTCGGATGACGATGTTTTATTATGATTCAGCGTAAACAAGAAGGAAACAATGGAAAGAGGAGAGCAAACAAGCAAAACACAAATTGGAAAATTATGATTATCGGATTAATTTATCTTGACCAAACAATCATTTTTATATCCTTCAACAATCTCAATGGATTGCTTGTCAACACCACCACCACCATCATCATCATCGTCCAAATTATCATCTTTTATTCATTCTCAACATCATCTCCACCTCAACCACCTCTCCATTTGTCTTTATCTCTTTTTTTCAAAATTTATCTCACTCTAGTTGAAACACCACCACAACCACCATCAACTTCACCACCTCCTTCATCCATCACTCTCCTATTTTATGGAAATGTTCAATATTCTCAAAAAACGAAAAATTTCCATTGTTTTTTTTCTAAAAAAACCTTTCATGTCTACTATATTATTCTTACCCTTTGCTATAAGCAAATGTTGATATCAAACAAAACAGAAAAGCTATTTTTATCTAAAAAACGTATTGAATTTATACATTAGATAACAATATATATAAATATAGATTTATCAATATATATATTTTAATATTATATATATATTATACATAAATATATTTTAATTATTTTAATTATTTCATGCGAGTAAAAGAAGTAATGAAATGGTGCAAACAAATTCACTGGAATATTGGTTTCCATCAATTCTTAGAAACTACAGACTGATCTTTAATGTGAAATCTCGGTTAACTGTTATTCAACAGCTTTTTGTTGTGTTGAGTTTATGGAAAAATATTGAATGGAAAGAAATGGGGAAATACAGATGATTGTGGCACTGATCTTGTGTTATTCAATAACAATAAAGCAACGATAATGTTAGTAAGTTAAATGGTGCTTGTAAAAAGGAAAATGTGAAAATTAATAAAATAAAATACGAAACGAGCATAAGATATAAAATAAGCTGAGTAACAACTGATTGGGAATAACCGTCAATTGGCCGCTGGGTTTAATATATCCTTGTTAGCATGAAATGTTTCACCCTGGAACCAAGTTAATCTGATAGTCGACTAATAATAATCATCATCATCATCATCCTCAAAGTGATCATGATCATCAGCATCACCATTGAAACAAATTCTGATTCGATTGGTTTAACGATATGCTGGGAAAAACCAGGTTCAAGCTTAAAATGATTAGCATTTCATTTTTCTCTCTCAACTCTCCAAGTAGAGTTCTAGATTCTTGATCAATCATTAATTTTCAATTTTCGCTTTTTACTTTTTTGTCTTACACCAAATTAATAAGCATACCTTTTTAACCAACTCAGAAAAAGGTATAAATTATTTTAATTTGAATTGCATGGCAAAAAGTAAAGCAAAAACAAATGAATGGTAGAAACTGGTGTTTTAGTCACTTGGCAACAAATTTTTCAAACTCGGTGAAAGCTAAAGGGAAAAATTTACTCAAAATTAAAGGTTGTAAAGTAATTTGTGTTGATTTAAGTGGTAAACATAGGTGATGATGACAATTTATTGTCAGTAAGGTGATGCCAAGAAAATCGCATAATATCATTTTTTAATCATTAGCAGATTATTTTATCAAATGTGATGGCTTTAGAGCTTCAAACTTGATTCAATATATGATATATTTACTGCGTAATGCGGCATTACTAATGCGTAAGAAAGGTAAAGAACGATAATTGCTTCATTCGATATGATAATGATCAAGAGCCGAAATAAATCTTCATTATAAATTGTCATAATCATTAAAGGTAATTATGTGTTTACTTTTTTTTATTAGTTTTCAATGTTACCAGTAGAGGGAAAAATTTTTTCATTTTTCTTTTTCATTTATTGTTGGAGTTTTTTGAATGATCACAAGTTGAAATTGATTAGAAAATAATCATTTGTGTGTTGTCTTTCGCTTTAATAGAAACACATGAGCTGATGAGAGTTACCAATTGAAGACAAACTTAAATTGTTATTGAATAATTGCCTTGAAGGGAAAGAAAATAATGTCATCAAGTCAATTGCGTGGGTAAAAATTAAATTGGATTACAACGGAATCAACTGCACAGTTATGATCGAAGTTGAATGTTAATTTGAATCATTGAGTTAAAGGAAATCAATTTTCTTTACGGAAACAATGATTTCAACAAGCCTTGGAGTTGTTTTTAGAGTTAAACGCGATTAATATCTGATTAGGTTAACAAACTGTTGCCTGAGATGTAAAATTAGCAGCAATTCGCCAGGGTTTAACTTTACGGGAAGAATCATTCTTTAACTTTGTCTCTTTCTGGGGATCAAAGGATTGTACCCAGTCGTTAGGAGGTGAAGGACAATTTGGAACGCCAACAGTAACACGATGACAGAAAGGTCGACTATATTTGCGTTCTGCCAAAGAAACGTACACACGATTGTCATCCGATTTAACCAACTTTAGACTTTCATTCAACATTTCGATCAGCTGAACCATATTTTCGACTCCATATGCTCGGAAGTTAATTGCATGGCCATATTCATATCTGAATAGATCATGTAAACAATCAGGAGTTACACTGTTTGAAACACTCTTAATGAGAGAAGTCAAACGACCAGTAATTGTTTTGATTCGATACTCGTGACTTAATTTGATTATTTTTTCATCGCCAGCTAGATTATCTTCTAATTCAACGACTTCTGGTGAAAGGGATTCAAACAGTTCAATCAGCTTGGTGAAACCATAATCTGATACACGGCACTGTCGATTAAAGTAGTGATGGTAAGTGGGAATAAATTTAGAGAAAGGCATACTAAGCGTCGGAGTTGATTGAAACAATTCAATTATATCACGAATCAAATATTTGGTCCTTTCAATTTCCTCTGAAGTTCGTTCCTTTCTTGGTATTTCTAAAATGATCTGATCAGAATCACTAATACCCTCTGGTTTAATGATTACCACTGTTCCTTCCCAAACATCAACTAAAATATCTGTTACACAGCAAACACCATAATTTTCGATGGAGAACGGCTTCTCCAAAACCTTTTCATACTTAGATGGAAGCTCTCCAAGAGTCAACCTTTTGGCTGGTTGGGCTTTTAAAACTCTGATTAAATCAGATGCGAAACGTTTAGTTTGTTCACGGTGGGTAAGAGTTAACATTTTCTTGGATCCTTCACCCAAAATTTGTACCACATGAGGAATAGCTTCCAAGAGTTCAATTAATTTTGTATATCCATATTGATATACACAACATTGTCTACCAAAATGGTTATGATAAGCAGGAACAAATTTTGAAAATGGAATCAAAGAACGAGGTTGACTTTTCAAAAGGTCACGCACTTCTCGACTAAATTGGGCCATTTGACGAGCAATATTATCATTAGATGAAGATGAAGATGAGGCTGTTGTAGGGGTTATGCTTGTTCCTTTGTTATTGTGGTGATTAGAGCTGTAATAAAGGCTATTGGAATTATTATTATTATTATTACTATTATTATTATTACTGTTAGTATAAGCATTATTTCCACTTGACATCATTGAATTATATGATGAAACGTCTGAACAACTTGAAGATGAGCCTGAAAATTGTGATTGATGTTGACTAGAACAGTAAGATGAAGAAGCGGAAACGACAGCATTTGATTTACTCGATGACCATGCAACACGTTTGAAGGACACTTCGGGATCCATGGTAATCTCTATACCGGGTATACAGGTAATCAAGTGTTCCAAAGGTACCAGTGAACCTCCACTGGTATTTAACTTTTCATTAAATTGATAATAATAACAGGTTAATAAACTATTCAGTGGTAGACAACCTGAATGAGAGTCAAGAAGAGCATGCATTCGGGGTGCCAACTGTTTTAATGAAATATTAACAAGGGGTAAACAAAGGAGAGGCTCTTCATCGGTCCAACCATCAAAACTGTTACTATTTATCTTTGAATAACCAGAACTTGTACTCGTTGCTTTTGATGATATCGTTTTTCCATGCGATGATGAAGATGACGATGATATGATTGAGGATGAAGATAAAGGCGATTTAGATGATAACAATGAAGAACCCATTGCCTCGGGTTGATGGATTGCACAAAAGGGTAAAATCTTTTCTCTTCTGATCATCACTGAAGGTAGACTTAATGCTGCTTTATATTTACTGCTAAGAGTAATATATTTACCACCAAAATTGTTGCAATCAATTGAATTGGAACTACCATTTAGACTCATGTTGCTGTTGAAGCCATTACCAATACCATTATAAGAATCAGGAACCAACTCAATGGTATCTCTTAAACGCCTCAAATCGGCTCGGGTTAAAGATCTGTGGAAATTTTTCTCAAAAAAATATTGAAAAGTAACAAATGGAAGCTTTTTAGAGGGATTATCTTCGAAGAGAGAAATCACTTCGGCTCGCAATAGATCAGTTGAATGCATTATCAGCAGTTGTTGTCGCTGTGTCTAATAACGAAAATGAAGCTAAAGCCAAATGGATGATGTCAATGATGATGGAAAAATTGAACCCAAAACGTAGTTGTTCAGTGAGTGTAGCTTATCCAAATATGTAGCAGCACAGATTGAAATATCAATACACAAAAGATGATCAGGAGGAGAAATAACAATTAAAAATCAACAATTAAAGGAAAAGGAAATAAAGTGGTAACAACATGGGAAGATTGCTTTTGAATTAACAAGGGCAAAATGATTGACCGTTGATTTCACCTCTTCATTTATATAGTGACAAAGAGGAAAAGATGATTGGATGAAAAGAACCGCCAAGTGTTTTACCAATAGAGTTCAACTGTTTAGAATTGTTTCAATTCGAAAAAATACAAATATGTATCTAATGAAGCTTTCATCTTGCTTAAAAAGAGCCTATTGTTGGATTAAACCAGAGATTGGGTTAAGATAATTTCAATCAAATATATCTGTAATTTTCTTGCTACAATTTACTCTTATTGGTTCAAGTTAGGCTGATTGTCCCGCCCAAAGAGATTTTTTCATCAATTTTTTTCCATTAAAGATTACACATTTATTTACAATAAATTGAAAATAATTTTTTATTCAGTTTTCAACATTTATAGTTGATATAATTTGTTGTTGGCAATTAATTGATCACATCAATTACAATCATTCAGTATGTTTTGTAAAATTAAAATCTTTGATTTAAGTACGCAGTTTTATCTATGTTTAGATACAATGTTAAAATTTTTGTAGCTTTTGGAAGCTCTGATAAGCAAAATAGTGCTTAAGATTAAAATCAAAAAATCGTAAGGCATTTGTTTTTGGTCAAGAAAATCAAGGGAAGATATCGATTTTGTTTAATGACTTTTTAATTCTCAACGAGGTGAGTCTCTTAATCGGTGAAGTATACCAGCATTCTTGCATTATTTTGGTGATACGAGAAATAACTGGATCATTTTCCATTCTTGTATTTATATTTGGCCTCTGGTCATCGCAAACGATTTTTTTCATATCCTCGAAAGAAGGATCACTTGGCACAATACCTCCAAAAGGTAAACTATAATCGTCTACTTTACCATCTCGACTGTAACATCTACGACAAGCTTCCCACATTACCAAAGATAGTGAATAAATATCTGCCTGCTTATGACTAACAATGGAAGATGAATTGAATGAATCTGAAAGTATTTCAGGTGGCATATAACGAATGGTTCCAACTTTGTACTTTTCGGCATTGATTAGTTTACCGGTGTCTTTATAGAAAGTTACAGCCAAACCAAAATCAGCGATACAAACATTATGATCATTTTTCATTAATATGTTTTTGGATTTAATATCACGATGAGCTATCTCAGGAACAACATCTTCCGAGTGCAGGTAGTCTAAACCATTGATAATACCTCTCAAAATAGACAGACATTGTCGTTGGTCAATTTTAAAAGTGTTTAAAAAGTCGTACATTGATCCAAGCGGATAGTAATTTGTTATCAACCATTGTTGAGTACATGCATCAACCGATATACAATCAGCTGCGATAAATTCAAGAATATTCTCATGTTTGTTAATGGCACGATAGACCTCGAGTTCCCTTTGAAAAATATGCTCATCACGAGAATTAAAAGCTTTTATGGCTACTGGACTTCCTAACCATGTTCCTCTGTAAACTTCATTTGTTCTTCCTTTGTAAACAGGCACATCTCTATTTATAACTCTGGAAACTGTTCTTGTAGTCAATAATGGTTGTCCATATCGTCCTGAGCCAGAAGTTTCAGATGAATCAAAGTTCGAACTAAAATCACAACTTTTCAAGTCTTCTTTTAAGTCTTCTTGAATGGAAGGACACTTTACTTTAGTCGGTCGTCTTTTTTTCCAAGCAAAATAAAGAAGCAAAGCGGCAACTAAGAGTACGGCAACCAAGATGATTACAATAAATTTTAAGTCAATAGTGTCAGATTTGAATGGTACATCGTCAGGCACAATAGGATTGTCATTACAAAAATCGGAGAAACAACATTTAGTGGAAACCAGGAGATTACGATCTTCAGGGTTTTGAACAATATGGCATTGTAGTTTAACATAAAGTGCATCATCAATACATCCTTTCTTCACAACTGTTGTTCCATTGAGAAATTTAGTGATGAATTCAAAACACGCAACAGCTCCAGAGCATTTTTCTCTTGGTTTTAAACAACTTTCATATTCACATGCCAAACACTGAATCCGTTTCATATTAAAATAAAAAAATCAATACAACCCATACAAACACAAACAGCAAGTTACCTTCTGGTAACATAAGATCTTTATTGGTGGTGACACCTCATGTCTTAAACAAATATTTTCAGATGTTAGGTGAAAGTTTTAAAATTACTGATGGGATCAAGATCTTCAGGGATGAATTTAAATAACTTTGGTGTAAATCGACAGGGAAAATCACAGATAGAGCATTAAAATTTGACAAAGACATGAAAAGGCACTCACAAGAGCAAAAAGTCGTGTAAAACGATACCTTTTGTTTGTTTGTAAATAACACCGATAGGTGACACCGAAGAAACATGTGTTTTACTTACACCTATTTACACATAAAAGATTGTGTGAATAGATTCTAGTAGAATGTGAATTTCACACTGAAATTAATTGATTGATTATTCCAATAAAATTAAAAGTCAAAATATTGTGATTCATTGATTTCGATCAGTTGAAAGCTAAAACTGCGAAATAAGGAGTACTTCTTGACTGTTATTCCGATAAAACTTATTGTTTCCAAGTTTTGCGTCATTTTATTCCAACGTTTTCTAGTTATTGGTCAGCTATAATTTTAATGGGTTGGCTAATTAAAGACTAAATATCTCATTATAATGATGTGACTTTACGATGCTCAGAAATGTAGAGGTTTAATATAGATTGAAGTAGAGACAATCAACAATAATTACGCATGTACAATGAAAGAAATAAAAAAAATTGATTCGCCATCAAAAATGAGGTTTTAATTGTAATTTCAAGAGAGAAGGGGGAGTGGAAAGGAAGAAAGAAATAAAGAGAGAGAGTTAATGCGATTAATGGTCAGTCGTGAAGGTGAAAAGATGAGAGAAAAAAAGACAAAGATGAAAACAAGGAACAGAATAAGACCACAAAACGAGAAAGACAGGATGGCAAGTCAAGGAATTTTACAAAATGAAAATTCATTAGACAAGGTAAAGTGTGATTAGAGGTGATAATGTAGTTTGTCTTGCTTTTTCTTGTTTCGTTTTTTAGTTGATGAAACTAAGTTAGAATATGGCCATTATCTATTTTGGCGCACTTCTAAAAGAAAGAAACAGCTTGAAAAAAAGAGAGGTAAAGGTGAGTTTAGTGGGAGCAAAATTTTAGGACGATAGGAAATGGGATGAGTGAGCAAGTATGCGAGCAAAAAAGAGGAAGGAAGAAATGGGTTAGGGTGTTATGTTGAGAGAAAAGAGAAAGTGGTTTTTGCTGTTATGACGAGATATTATCACTGAGGGATAATGTTAACTGTGGCGCCGAGAGTATGTCTCTCAATAATTTGGCTGAGTTGATCCAGATCCATCATTTCCAGTCTATCTTCTTCACCGGCCAGGTCAAAATTATCCTCTTCTAATTCACTTTCTTCACCATTTTCTTTAAGTATCGGTACCCAGCACTGACCATTATCTTCTACGTTCACTTGAACCTTCCAAGTTATGCTTTCAAGTTTATCAATCTTTTTCAGTGCACTGAGAACACATTTATTGGTGTAAGGGTCATTCGATGAGATGATCAATTCTTTTAGATTTTTCAAAAAACTGTTCACAGTCGTTGCTAAAAGAATTAATGTTTGACTGGCATCCGGTAAAACGATTAGATTTTCTAAATGTAAACTTCTCAGCTTGGTCATCCCTTGGAGAGACAGAGGCATTGAGTTACAAGTATCATTAATTGTTAAATCAACTAATTTAAGGTGTTTGAGTGAAGTTAATTTACTAAGATGTCTATAAACACCTTTTAATTTATTCTGATTATTCTGATTATTGATTTCTTTAGTCTCATTTTCTGCACTTTCTAATTCAATCTCACAGTCCACTTCACCCTCAATTTCAACCTCAACATCAGCTGAAACATCATTTAACGTCTCCGAAACAATGCAATTAAGGTTGGCATCTGTTACGATAGCTTCGTCTTCAAATTGTTCAATTGTCTCATAATGATCTAACTTTTCTTGTGAATATGATGGTGATGGTGGTGATGGAGGTGATGATGATAATGAAGAATATGATTTAACGTCATGATTGGCCCAATTCAAGCAGCTACCAATTTCAAGACTACTTAAAGTTTGAAGATGACTTAAGAAGCTAAATTGATCTACAGTGAATCCTTTTAAGGTAGTCATTGAGAGTGATTTGAGATTGGTCATAGGTGCGAATATTCGATCGAGTAGATCAGAATCCTCGGGATTAACAATAAGACCATATTTACAATCGACCCGGAGATGCTGAAGTGAAGATAAATAAGCGATGTTTTCTAATATGGACAAATTACAGCTTTGAAATGCTGAATCGTCTTCAAAAAGATGTCTAACGGAGAGGGTTTCCAGGTTGCTAAATGAGTTGTAACAGTTTTCTGTGACCGCTGCATTAATTATTTCCTCAATTACAGATGTTGGGACCGTCCCGAATTGTATATGCTTGATTGACTTCAAATAATCCGTGATTGTGGCAAAATTACTCCACATTTCACTAAGATCACTACCCACAGGACATTTAATACCATCGAAATTGATACTCAGGGTAGCCATGGGTTCAACTATGTTCCTACCAAAATATTGCCAGTCTTTTATTACCATATCTTTCATCGTAATCTCTTGCCATAACATTGGCTGTGACGCTAAACGATTGAAAGTGCGACTGGTTAACTTGACCTTGATCAAATCTCGTGTACTTAAGTGTTGAAAGATTTGGTTTAAGCACTCGTAGCCGCTCGATAATAAGTTGAATTCAGGTTTGATTCTGCTAAGATTTTTACGGCATTTGTTGATCCTTGTATTTAAAAATTCAGCAATTTGGCTGGCGGTATATATGATTGGTGCAATCGGTGCAATTGGATTTCCTAGAATGCGATTTTCAATCGATGCTTTCCGTCTTCTCTTGAATAGAACTGATTGATCATGATAACCTATGATAATCGAGAATAAGATACGAGTTAGATATAACTGAAAACATGCTAAAAATTAAAAAATGGCGAAAGGAGATCGAAGCGATGACAGGATAAGTTACCTGCCAATCGATTCTTATCAGAATAAAAGTTTAAATTTTGAATAGAATATTCGATATCTTAAATATTTTAGCAATAATTGCATTATCTGAGTAAGAAAGAACTTTTTTTATTATTCTCAAGAAAGTTTGAATGATAAGGGTAAGTTAAATATTGAGAAGGGTCCAAGAAGAAATGCGAAGCTTTCGATAAGCTTTTGAAGTTTCTTGACTTTAGACCTTGCTTTAATTCTGATGTAAAATTATCGCCTTTATTCCTAAAATTCATACCAATTGCGAGAGCCTCAGTGTCTCCCAGTCTTCCATTCAAAAAACCGACAGTTTCCCCAGCGTCATTGGGATGAATACAATTCTGAGGATGGAAAAAAGAAAGTTATTAGAAAATCAAATTTGCAAGCAATATTGAGAAAAACATAAAAATAAAAAACTTGGTCCAAATGAACGAGACAAACAACGAACTTTGGTCTACAGAATCAATTCAATGATAATTTAGAATAGTTGATGAAAATTTCAACACGTGTTTGTTGTTTGGAAAATTTGTTTGACTTTTAAAATGAAAATAAAGGAAAACAGATACTCACTGGACATATAAAACTGTGAGAATTATCCAAAAAAATTCCGGCAGGTACACATTCAGGATGATATAGACATAAACATCGGTCACATAGTAAAGTAGGAATAATTCCCTTTTTACCAAAACACATGATAGAACAAGGAGTAGGGTGAAGCATTGGAGGCAGATTATTGAGAATCTCTTCAGGAATACTGTCTATTATGCAGTCAACTATATCTTTTTCCGAATCATTTTTATCCTTCTTTGCGCGTTTTTCAATTTTAGCATGCTTATCGGATTGTTTAGATCTGGACTTTAATGAGTTAGTTGTGGTTCTGTTCTCGCAACTTTCGGTTCGATAAATTTTAGAAGGTGCAACGTATCTTGTATTGTCAGGTGATGCTAGTGGTGTCACTGAGAAAGAACAATGTAAAAAGTCATCGGCATAATTTTCATAATTCTCAGTGATATCAGTCTCCTTTTTTGGCAAAGATTTGGTTAAAATTACTTTTTTGTCGGATTTTAATTTATCCAGCTTGACAGATGATTTTGACTTGTTTTTCTTCTTGGATTGTGAATATTTACCATCAGGCTCTACTCGACTACGAGGTGTATCAAAGTCATTGTGATTAATTCCTTCAGATGACACTCCATTCATAATTTTACCTGTGTCAGATTCGTTGAAATCTAATTTAACTGCTTTTGGAGTAGAATCAGGTTTGGATGGCCTCTCGTACTTCGACTTAGTTTTTTTCTTAGAATTGGTTGGTGAATCAAACCCGTTATCATCGTTAGGTTGAGTTGTAGAAGACGAATGATTATATATATCATTTGAAAGATCACCATTCACGCCGGTAGTTTTCACTGACTCTTTATGATTATTTGAGTCAACATTGTTAGTTTGATCAGATCTATGTGGTGAAGCAGTCTCAACTGTTCTCAGTCTTTTTCTAGGTATTTCATGTGTTCCCCTTGTAATCTCTTCATGTGAAACAATCCCCAGGTAATCATCTTCACCTTCCATTGCAGGTATCATAGAAGGTATATTTTGAAGAATCTCGTCAGGAATACTTTCATTAAAACTATCAACAATAATATCGTTGTCGTCATCTGGATCTTTGGATGGATCCTTTTCAGATTTTTCAGTCGATTTCTCTATTTTTTCTAATTTGTCAGTTCTTTCACTTTTATCCATTCTCTCTGATCTTGTCCGAGAGCGTTGGTGATGATTAGGAGTAGTCACTTCAGAGTTTTCATTTCGAGTTCTTGGATTTGCTTGCCTAACAATCTCAAATGGCGCACGAAAAATAGGTTGACGAGCAAAAGTAAAATTTTCAGGTTCGAGGTCACACTCAGGATGGCGGTTAACTGCAAAAAAGAGAGACAAAAGAACATTAGTAACAGCTAAACGGTGTGATAAAGAAACAGTGAAGCAACATTACATGTAAAACATGCATGTTGCTTTTAAACAAGAAGGTACATACGGTATAATCCAATTTCCACATATGATCGAAGTTTCACATTTTTCTCAGGAGAAAAATAATATATGTCTACAATTCTTTTACCAGAATTGGTATGGGTAGATCTAAGTACGATTTCCCTTTTCCATCCAAGCTTAAATGGCTTCCTAAATGCTTCAAGCTCAGTTTGACTGAATTTCTTCGATTTGAGACCAGTTTTATCGGACCAGCCTGCATCAATGTTGCACGATTCGAAACAATTTTCACTTGCTCCATGGGAGCCATCACTGTTATTGCTGGTGATCATGGTGTGGGTCCAGGTTAATTAGAAGAATGAATTACCTTCAATCAACCTAGAAGACACACTTTGAATTGATGGTTTCACGAACTAGAGAAATTATTAAGCCTGATGAAGGCTTGTGTTTCTTCCAAAAATCACTGGTGTGGGTAAAAAACAAAAGGTACAGCGACCAAAAACACAGAGACACAAGAAAAATATGAAGCGAGGGAGAGAAAAAAGTGAAAGAAAAAAGTGAATGAAAAAAGCAATGAGCAAAAAAGACAGAGAATTAGAAACAGAGGGAAGAAAAAGAAAGTAAAATAGAGAGAGAGAGAAGAAGAGAGAGAAACTAACAAACACACACACACTGTATACACATTTAGACAATGAGAATGGTCAAAGATGAACAATAATTAAGTAATTGATTTAAGAGATGATGACTCCACTTGAAAAACCGACGAAATCACAATTTGTTAAAAAATAAAGATTTACTTATTAGTTGAATTAGAATTGATTGGGTCAATAATTAGTTGGTTAATTGTGAAAATAAGGAGAAACAACATCTCGTTTCCACTCTCTTTTGTGTGCGATAAAAGTGAGTCCTGATGAAGAGCATTGAGAAAAAGGAGAGAAAATAAAAGTTAGAAACATATAGAAGGCAAGGGCAGAAGAAGCACAAAGAGCACAAAAAGCATAATTAAATGGAGGCTAAATGGATGAAAAATTAACTTAATATTTTACTTTTATTCATTTTGGTTATCGATTTTTTTATTATAGTAGCACATAATTACCATTAAATTGTATTGTTTTATTTAATTCAAACCGACACTTCTTCAAAAGATCAGCTTTACTTTTAAAGATCATTGATGAACCAACAATATTTATTATCACTTTTCTTGTAACACTTATTGATAGGAACCTAAATAATTTAACTTTTTTTTGTTTCTCTCAATAGTATTACTCATTGTTATGCACAGCTAGTCAAGGTAAATTTTTTCTATAATCAGTCGAATGCCATTTTTTATTTCATTTTTTTCATTTATTTATTCAATTCGTTTTTTAGTTTTATTTCATTTTCATATGATAAAAATTAACAATTTTGGAAATAATTTCTTAAACAGTGGAAGCTCTTGAAGTTAATTCAATCGCTTAAGGTATAAAAAATGAGTTGAAAACACTCAATTTACATAGAATTAAATTTCATCTGTTTTTTCCTCTCGCTTGGTGTGTGTAAACGTTTTATTGCCGCTTCGAGTGACTTTTTCAGTTGTTTTTCATCTCCTGCCAAATATTTTTTGTTTGGAGCCAATTTTGTCATTTATAAATGGCGGTTAGACCATTCGAGAGGGAGCAACTGTGCTTTGTTTCCATGGCAGTTTCTTGCTTTCTGATTGGATGGTAAAATTTTTGGAGGCAAAATCAAGTTTTGTTTTTAATTTCTCCATTAATGAACAGTTGAATTGATTGGTGTTTTATGTACAAATAGATATAAAGGTAACAAAAACTTTTTACACCAAACTCATGATTATGATCTTTAAGCTTTCTTCTCTTGTATCACAAGTAGTTGGTGAAATAGAATGACAAACATTTTTGCTTCTCAAAGTTAAACACGTGTTTGTTAGGTGATGATGGGTCACTAGAGGAAGATCTTGAGGCGGAGGTTGAGGTAGATGGATAATCTGAAGGCGATTCGTAAATTAGCGTTGGATGATTTTTATGGTCAGTGTTTTCGACATTATTATGTACATTATGATAAGAGTTATTTATACTGTTACTAATTTTTCTCACGTCGTCTGTACTTTTGTTGTTGATGGCAACGTCAACTTTACAATTACCATTCCTTGTCACTTTGGTCTGATTAGAATTTAAATGTAAAGAACCCTTTAACCGAGCAGAATAACGTGATCTCTTTCTTGAAGTTAAACTGAGAATAAATTCTTCATTATCTTTAAGGTCGGCATAAATTACACTGGGATCCAAATTCATTTGATTATCAATGCACTTGCTGGATGATGGCGAGATTCGTCTGGGGGAATTTCGATAATCTGAACAATTGTGGTTCTTTGTTCTTCCAAGATGAGTCTTGCATAATGGACAGGTCAACATTCTTGGTGCAACAATTTTAAATGGCCTACAGCAAAAGGCTTTAATCCGTCCTTTCCAATTGAGACCACTTTCTAGAGTTGCCCATCTCTCTAACCTTTGAGTCTTGTTAAACGTATAAGTGTGAACGTAATGTCGAGGTCCCCAAGAAGCAGAGACAACACCGTTAATTACATTATTAGAACGGGTCATACGACTTTTACCATTTCGGGGTCTATTTACATCTATCAATACCGCATTCAGGACACTTCTATTATCAGTAGAACAATTTTTTTCAATTTTATGATAAAAATCCGCCATATCAAACTTAAATTTAGCTTCTGGGACACATAAAAGCATTTTTTGTCCTAACACTGAGCATAAATCCACTTTTGAAATAGTATCAGCTAAATGTTTTTGTTGATTTCTATGAGATCTTTCGTTTTGGTTTTGATGATGCTTATTTTTTTGTACTACTGAATCAGTTGCATTAGGAGTATTAGGTGATAGTAATAAAGATGCTAGCGTTGGACTATTTGAGCCATTTATACCATTTAACAGAAGGCCACATTTAGATAACAATAAAGATGTGCCTGCTGTTTGAGTAGGAGACACTGATGAGCTACTTGATGTTGAATAGCTTTGCGATGAAGATGATGAAGGCTTGATTACTCTACTTGGATTATTGTTCCTATCACAATTATTATTAACATGATTATTTTTATTAACATTATTATTTAGATTAATCCTACTCCTTGTTTCTGGCACTACTTGTGAAGCTTGTTTACTTTTCTTATTATTTGATGTCGCTGGTGGTGGGGGGCTGGATGCTTTAGACCGCTTTGGAATGACACAAAGAATCCTTCCAGTGTTTTTATCAAGGATACAAGAACCATTCTTGTCTTCAACAACTCGGAACATCTAGAAGGGGTGAACACTTAATTTGAGAGTGGAATGACGATGAACTGTATCAATACAGAACGAATTTTTGAGATTTTCATAAAAATCATGAAAAATCAATCACATTAACGACACATATCTGTGAGACAGGGATAACTTCATATGTTGTTGATACTTGAAACAACCCTAAAAGAGGGAGAAATTTGTTGTTGACCAAGATACAAAAGGCTTTTTTTATAAAATTACTCACGTGACACCTTAGTTCGCCATTTTTTTGTATAGATGGCGATACATTTTCAACTTCCGGTATCCATCTTAACTATTCTTAACCATCACTAACTAGTCCCTAACCATATAGGGTGCACAGGAAGTTAGTGTGAGGGGAAAACACGCCCACTTGCGCATTGTCATGATTAGTATTGAGATGAACATTTTACGAGCGAATTTCTCACTTATTGAGATATTTTTGGCCCTCCTTCCTATCGAAAATTTTCAGCATACCCTGTAACTACAGTACTTCCGCACATCAAGAGTCACTCTCAAGTTAACAAACGGATTTTCTTCAAAGTCCCTATCTACCAAAAATCAAAGCACTAGTGGAATCTCAGAGCCACCATCGAGAAACTACGTCATTGTGAGTTATATAAACTCTTTATCCTAAAGATGGCGACACCTGAAAATTAACCTTTATTGCTGTTATTTTTAATTAGTTTTAATTTAATTTGGTCTTTTGTTTCTGTGGTTATATGTTTATATTTAAAAATGTAGGGTTCCCGTCGGGTATTAGTGATGACGTTACGTTTTTTGCCGAATGTGTTGTATAGGTCATTATCAGCCATTGTGGTTTTTGTTCAAAAAATATGCATAAATGATAAATAAACCAATTTAACTCAGAACGCTTATTTGTAGCGCCATCTGTATTTTCAATAACAAACCTTCTCCAATGGTGATTTGCATTAACCTATCAGTATTTTTGATCATTTTTCATCAATTCTAAGCATGTTTTCTTTTTTGCAGATGGCCATATATAACGCTAAAGCACGTGCGCAAAGAGAAATAAAAAGACAAAAAACGAAAAACGAAAAAGTAAAAACCCCTCTTGTTTCTCGGAGGCAGCTTTTGTGTTTGCAGTGGTGTTAGAGTTAGTCAAGAGAATGTTCCTCAAAGGTCTTCTTGCTGCAGCTGCAAAAAGCTGGGATGGCAATTGTTCTCCAAACCATGAACCAATAACTTCTAAAATGCAACATGATGGCACTTGTGATTTTTCCATTGATAATCATGTATTTGCATTTATATTTATTCATACTTATTCATATTTTTTATATTCATTTATACTCTTTTAGTTTCAATACAATCATTTTTTATTTTATTTCCATTATGATTAGTTCTATATTTCATTAAAAGTAGGTCAGAGTCTGTAGAAACAACTTCACAAAAAGGAAATATAAAAATATCCATATTTGCTTGATAAGTCATCTAACCTAACGAAACCTAACCTATCAGTATTGTTTTATCATATTTCATCAATAAATCTAATCATGTTTTCTTTTTTGCAGATGGCCATATATAACGTTAAAGCACGTGTGCAAAGAGAAATAAAAAGACATAAAACGAAAAAGTAAAACCCGCTCTTGTTTCTCGGAGGCAGCCTTTTGTGTTTGCAGTGATGTTAGAGTTACTCAAACGAATGTTTCTCAAGAGTCTTTTTCTTTTTTCAACTGCAAAAATTTTTAAAATAGAGAATAATGGCACTTGTGATTTTGGTTATTGGAATGATGAAGAAGATTCAAACATGGAGCTAAAAAAGATGCGAAAGGTAAAGACAAATAAACTGAAATTGCAAAGGATGGGATGGGCTGCAAATATTAATGAAATACCTGCACAAACAATAACGAGGAAATGGACGACAATGGAAATATATTTAAATACATTAATTTATTAGATTGATAATCATGTATATTCATCCATATTCATAAAACTTCATGTAAATTTTTTCATATGCATTCATATTTATTCGTTTTTATATATTCATTTATGCTCTTTTATTTTGAATTTCAATAATTTTTTATTTTATTTTAATCATAATTAATTTTTCAATAAATCTTATAAACATTTCAACTTGCGTTTAATCTATTTGCTTGAGAATGGAATAAGAGGACAAGTTGATATAATGAGAAATTCTCATTTTCGTTTGCTTTCCTGGTATCTCAACCAGTACGTCAACTCACATCATCATTCAAATCACGCTTAGCTAAGTCACTATCGCCCATTGGAAATTCCCCAGACCCATTCTTTAACCACCAATGATACTGCTAAGTTATTCTACCTCGTATCTGAGAACAAAGCTCTATTGTTTGCCTTTTCAGCTCTTCAATGGGAAAAGTTTCTGGATCTTCATCCACGATTGGAGGTTGAAGATTTTCATATTCATTAATTTTTTGCGTTTGGTTTAGGAATACCACTCAGTTTTAAACTTGACATAAATTATAGTAATTCATCTTGCCGAATGGATTACCTCAACTGGCCATTCGATATTGTTAACTGCAAGAATGATTCAATTAGTCAGGTTGAACATTCTTTGGCCTATTCACTCACTTTTTTGGCCATACTTGCTTATTTTTCTCTAAATGTAATAATATACCAATGTAATAATTTAAATCAATTTTAGTGAAACCAAAGTCGGAAAATATTCCAAATTTAAGTATG